AACAGAAACGAAGTGGTGTCCTTTAAGTTATTCTCGATCTTAAGGACACAGCAAAATTTATGGACTAATCGCGCTCTCTAACTGTGAGTTATCTGTACCACAAATTTATGTAGGAGGATTTTTAAATGCCTGGACGTTTTTGCAAATTGTCCGCACTCAGACGATTACTTAGTACGTCTCTTTTATAAATATATGCTTCCCTTTTCGTTGCGGGTCAGACAGTAGGATTCGGACGTTCTTTGTTTCCTTGGCAAAAAGCTGCCACAACTTCGTGGCTTGACGTTCCGTCGCAAAATACAGTGGGTCCTTCCTTATACAATACGGCTGAGATCGCCAAGTTTAATTAAATAAGGCAATTATTTAATAGCAGAGCTGGGGGGGGATAGGTTCGAAGAGAAGGGTGCTTCACGTGTTAGCAAGGAGGACGATAGCGTGGCCGCACCGCCCATCCCTCTTCGGAATGCTGCATCTATGCTTGCAGAGCTCAACAATTTCTGGTACCAGCAGGAGACTGGAGAGGAGTTTTCAGGGATATTTCAGAAGTTGCAGCATCAGGTTGGAAATCTTTAGCAAAACTCCTACGATTAATAAATTCCAAATTTTGTATTGGGACCCCGGCAGTACTTTAATTTTTGTATGGCGGAAAATTTATCTACCTTTAATAATAATAATCAATGGATTTTTTAATATTTGGCCTGGGCCCAATATGGGACTCGACAATTTTATTAAATAGAAAAGATTATTAACTTAAAGAACAACAAACGGAGACTTTTTTGTAGCCATCATCGGTCTGAAAGAGGTAGCAGTACCAGGAAATGCTAATAGGGTAGGTCCTTCCGCGTCGCGGTTACTGAAAAATCTACGGTTACAATCCGACTTTTAGTATCGTTGATATCAGTGCACGACACTTATGTAGTTGCACACTCCAGCCGAATCCATAGCGTGCACAAAAACACAGGTCACGTGGACACGTTGAGAACGGATATACCTCTTGAGGATGCCGACGTGGACCACCCCTGCTGATGTGCATCGCAGGCCTAAATATAATATGCGATGTTTGCTCATTTGAACACGGGCATCGCGCAAACAACGGCACGGGTTGCAAATGAGCGATGTCCCGAGGCGACCATGATAATTAATGTATGTGTTCTCGTTTTTAGACGATGCCGATCGTGGCATTCTCGGCCACAATCGGACCATTCAAAAACGAGTAAATGACAGCTTTGTACCGCTGTTGTAAAGCCTCATTGCTTTGTAGACTACACTTGGCGCGGCTAGTACGTCTCGGTGCAGGTACAACAGCCTGTTCCCCTTTGCTTGCTCACAGATGTTCACGGCTATTCCAACAGATAAGTACCACTCCTTGATCGAATAGTTAACGTGCACGGGCTTCCAACTCTAGAAGTAGATTTCTTCCGCCTTTTGGAGATATTTCCGGATTATGAGTGACGCCTTCTTTCCGGCACGTTTTCCATGCACACTCGATACTCGAGCTGTCTTTCTGTACGCAAAGCTAATCTATTTCGACGCGCATAGGGAAAAGATATATCCCCGACAGAAGATAGCGCTTTCACATTATGTTGTAAAATGTTCCATTTGCGGTGTCCAGCTTAATCTTATTGCTGGATTGTGATGCCATTTTATACAGCCAATCCGGTGGCATGGAATCGATGTCACCATTAGTATCGGTCATGTAATGTTTGTGATAGAGAGAGTGATGGAACGAAGAAGGTCCATATCCAATGTCTGACCTGCGAAGGAAGAAGGATGCATACATCCAGAAAAGAGCCATACAAAGTAATCTTCTGAATGCGGGCATTTTGCAAAAAGACTGGGCATCAAATGAATCCCCGATTGTAGCCTGAAGTAAAAAGTACAGTACTTGGTAGTAGAGTCAAGCACGTCCAGTATTCACGAATAACTAACGACTGAAGTTTCTAGGAAGTGAGATCCGAAACCGGATCCAATACGTGGGTGCTCTGAAGAGCCGGGAGCGAGGGTAGCGGAGGTCAGAGACATCCAATCCAGGCCAGATCGGAGCCTATCTTTCAAGCGCTCTCAGTGAAACGCTGCCCTATGCAGCAGAAGATATCAAGACGTCCAAAAGGACGCCCAACTGAATCGGTGACCCTTTAGCGCGGCTAGCCGATTTATAGCGCAAGAAACCGAAGTTACCTTACGCGCCGGGAGAATGCCACTAAAATCAGGTAGAGACTCCTTTGTGGCCGCTAAGCGACCGTCCGGGCTAAATGTTGCTATCGTCGTGGCGATTACGACGGCGGGGGAACGCCTACCCGCCGTATTCTATACCTTAGAATAAAAGGTACTGTATTTGCTACTTACAGATATCTTAAATCGCTACCCTACCGCAAAAGCCTCGTCCTATTTTCACGACCGTCCCTTCTCCCACACTTTCTGGCAAGATCCAGACTGTTTTCGTAGAAACGTCAAAAGCTGATCCTATCTGAGAAAAATAAGTCGCTACCTGAACAGCTCAATATCTTATGGTCTCAACAGCATACAAAGTTTTAGACGAGCTTGTAAAAAGAGCACGGCACATCATCAACCCGGCTCTTTTTTCGAGACTCTTCGTTCGGCTCCCGGCGCCAGCTGGAAATTTTCTATACCGGTGTTCAATTTACCACACTATGGCTTAGCACCGTACGGGGTATTAACAAAGACCCCAAAAAACGGTATACCGACCGCCACTGATTTGAACGAAGAGCCCCGTCGCGTCCACGTGCGTGACGTCACAACCGCTGTCTCACGAAGAGCCCGTGACGCGCTCGCTCTTTCTATCGAATCGTCAAAAACGAGTGGCTAAAACTCGAACATCACTCGACTCCCTCCCTACCTTTCAGCCGCCACTTGGGTCCTTACGTCGTTGACGACAAATGGAGAGTATCAGCGCCTGCAGTTTCAACGCCCACCTGCAGCTCTGCTCCTTCATGTCGCTCCCTGCAGACGACGAGATGGCACAACTGATTCTTGAGGTGCGTTGGGTACATCATCGCTTTCTGTGGTACTGTACTCCGGTTGAACTAACTGATGGTACCGTTGCAACTCTTGTCTGTCGTAGGAGCTGTCGTTCTCCAGACGTGCGTTCGTGGGCGTTGCGGCAGCGATAGCGAGCTCGCCATCGAGCGAGTCGGCGTCTGGACTGAACTCGATCTGTGAAGACGGGGAAGAGGAGGAGGACGACGACTAGATGTAGCATCGTAATGGTGCGCTCGAGAGTGCAGACGAAACACTGCGAGAGACTCACGTGGAAGGGAGCGTCAACATCACGCAGCAGCTCTCCCCCCACGCCCCCCTACGCATCTTCAGATTTTATCGTGTGCAGTGTCTCGAGTGTGATCAAGCACGTTCCCTGCAACATTGCGGTCATCGGCGTAAAGGACAGCAAATTGCAATACGATATTTATTAGCAACCTTTTGTTTGTTGTTTAGAATGTCTAGTTGTTAACGATGTGGCGATGGTGCTTTCAGTGTCCTTGCTTCTTTAACCTGTTAACTGATGGGATTCACGTCATCGCGACAACGAACTGTTTGATCAGAATATACGCTCCGAGCAACGCAATTCGTTCTCCTTGTTTATTGCAGTGTTTGTGGAACAAACCTGAAGTGCGTCTCGACGATGGAAGTAGTGCTGCATATACCAACCGACTGTGCGAATGGCTAGATGCATGAGCTACGCTATCTGTAGCTTACATCGTTGATACCTGCGCCATGAGATTTAGACCACACTAGCATCCCAAAGCTCTTCAGCGCCTTACGACAAGCACTTGTTACGATGTCTGACCATTTCAGGTGTTTTCCGCAGTTCAAGTAGCAGCTTCGGAACGAATCATCCTGCTGGAAGCATCGTTGCTCTGGATCCAGGCTGAAATGTCTGCGGGCATGGCCGGATTCGTCTCTTCGTTGGCCTCGAGGGCTGGAAGCTTGCTGACAATCTGCTCGGGGCTCAGTGCACCTACCACCGTGTTCTTCACGAGCACAATGGCGTTCACGAAACCATTCCTGCTCGTGTCTTTGGTCACGAAGCGCTGTTCGATATAGAAAGCACGCGCGTCCCAGCAAATGAGTCGCGACTGCATCGTGTAGACTTGGCCGAATGACAGCTCCCGCCGATACCGCACTGTCTGCGCGCCAACGACGAAATTGCCACCCGATTTGACCACAACGTCCCATACACCATTGCGCTGGCACAAAGAGAAAAGAACACGTAGACAAAGAGCACGTCCGTGTCAATGCGATCATCACACTAGTATCAATCCAATTGGCTGTCGTACGTGCCATAGCTCGCGGCGTCCGAAGCCGCACTCGCGCAAGACGCGCGCGTTATTGCAGTGTCCATTGCGATCAATGTCCGTAAGACCAACAAAGCCAGTGACGCTGTTTGTAGCGAACAAGTGGCAACGAGGTCCACGCTTTGGTCCAAGTGGAAGCGACGTCATCCCTATCCGCAGGAAGTACCACATGTCGCAGAGAGCGAAACTGGAGAGCGCGCCTACCACGAGTGCGGTGACACCGCTCAGTTTGTTTACGAAGTAGACCAGATACGACACTGCTGCAGGCAGCAGCACGAGCAGCACAAACGCCAGCACACTACGAGGCCGCAGCATGGGGACGCGAGCGATTGCGTGTGTGTAGCCATGTGTGTAGAATCACTTCAGTGTAGCCATGTACGTTGTGACGACTCGAGTGTAGCCATGTATGTTGTGACGACTCGAGTGTAGCCATGTACGTTTTGACCACTTCATTGTAGCCATGTACGTTGTGACGACTCGAGTGTAGCCATGTACGTTGCGACGAGTCCAGTGTAGCCATGTACGTTTTGACCACTTCAGTGTAGCCATACATGGTGCTGACACGGCGTGTAGCTGTGGCCTGAAAAAGACTGAGGAGGTCCGTTTTGCTGCTTGGCCATCGATTTGTATTGGCTAAAACTCGAGCTGGTTTACAAGCTTTCTCGACATTTGCGCATTCTTGGCACGACGATGGAGGCGCAGGCTCGAGCGTTGGAGGAGGAAGTGCAGCAGCTGGGCGCGCAGGAACCGACGAAACACACGGCAGTGATGAAGCAGAGACTGTACACTCGCGTGGGTCAGTTTCTCATGGGCAGTCTGAACATGCAGCACTGGTGGTGCGATCATTCGTCGCTCATGGTGTTCATGATGCGCGTGCTGGAGCTCTACCCGGCGTCCGAGAGCGTCTGTGCCTTTTACAAGAAGATGGAGCAGCAACTGCGTCATTGTTGTCGATGGTAAAGAAGAAGAAGAAACTAGCAGCAACTTACGATGAAACATGAACGAGTGTAAGTGGAAACTGAGACTGACATGCGTTCGCTGTTCTGTCTCGTTCTCTTTGTGTATGCGTATGATTTGCCGTTGCCGCTGCTGTTATTGTTCTCTGTGTGTTTGTTTTCTTTCATGCCACGTGACTGTTTTTGCTGCCATTTTTGTGCTGCAGCGTAGACACTTACCACGCAGCTCTACCGAGCGTCCGTGTGGAGCTGGAGTTCGAGTTCACGCCCGAATCGATCGCGTCTTTTTTCGTCAAATTACAAGCGCTAGATGCCGATCGGGTGCAGCGGCAGTTGGCGGACGCGTTCACGGGGTTGGTCAAGGCCTCGCCGGAAAAGCAGGAAATTATGGCAAACACGCTGTATGAAGTGCTTCATCACCGGCGTCTGCTGTCAGACTTCCGTATTGTACGAGTGTTGTCGAGGGTGAGCATGAATGGTTTCATCGACTGTGTTACCTGCTATAGACTACACGCTAATTTCGTTGTCAGTGGGTCTGTTCTCCGTTCGCAGATGTGAAAGCGAATTCGTATCTGGAAAGCTTGCGTGGTTGCGCTGGGCTGTATCAGTTACTGGTATCGCCAGACTCTGCACTTAGGTGCGCAGCTCGTTTTCTAGTTTCTTTGTTGTCCTGCGATTTTTGCTTTTTGGGAAATGCATGGGCAGTGAGTGATAAACAAATGATGTTTGCACTGCAGAGAGTGGGCCCAAAATATGGTGCAACACTTTGGCTCGATCCAGCTGCGTGGCGATCGCGTGGAAGACCGGTATTTACTCGAAGTGCTGGATGAGTGGATGTACGTACTGGAAAATGAAGCATTCAACAAATCTATGTTGTTGCTCGATTTTAAAACAAAAGAGGAGATTCAAGATGTGAGTGCCTTGCCTGGGGGCTGTTAACCCGTTTGGCTATCGTAGTCTTTCAAAATCACGATATTGATATCTGTTACCACCATACATTGCAAAATGATTACAGTTCTTGGAGCCAACAAATTGCGTGAAGACTCCGACCAAGCCAATGTTGTGGTCTGCACTTGATACCGTAATGCAGGTATAAAAACCATAAGGTTGCTCGTATGGAAAGGCGTTGTCGCATGGTTAACGTGGTCTGTACTGTTGGAATTGTTAGCAAATGGACCTTGACAGCTTAGAAGCGATGCTGGTTTCGTTTGATACGATCCCCGATGTAGTTTTTAACTATTTACAGGATGCAGACCCTGCAGGAGACCAGACGCTCACCTTGGTGGTACGCTGCCTCCCCCCCCCCTTCCCCGAAACGCGTGGGCAGCTAATAATTAATCTCATTCTTCGTTGTTTGTTAGGTCTCCAAGTGTTTTGCAGTTCTCTTACGCTGTCTTGGGCACCGGTTCTGGGATCACAGCGTCAATTCGCCGAAAGTTGTGCTGGATGTAATAATGCAGCATTGCCGTCTCATGTCGTGGCGCGTGTATGTCACGAAACAGTTTATTGAGCTTCTGCCACCGCTTCTTGTGACTATACGACCGTCTCAAATCGTCAGCCAATCGGTTCGTATTGCGTTGAGCTTGACATGTTTTTTGCATCAACTGAAGTGGTAAAAATATCTGTCTACAGTCCAATCAAGAAAAATACGACGAGCTTGATTTTTATTTGGAGACACGCAAGAATATGATGCAGTTCCTGATTGTCGAGGATCTTCGACCGAAGCATTACGATGCTGTTGCCATAGTGGCGACATCAAGGGCAGCTTTTACAATTTTGCACGACTGTTACGAACACCGTATGCCTGGTTCTGTTAAAAGCAATCGGGAGAGTGGGCGAGATGAAGGCGCGCTGTCCGAATCAATTTCTGTCGACTACTCGATTTCTGAAAGCGCTTTTTGGTGGCCATGCAGCTCTGAGTCTGGTGATGTTACAAACAGGATACTGGGAAAGCTATGGATGAACCATTTATTTGATATTGTTATCAAACCTAACAATGTGGAGTCGCTGGTTGACTTGGCTGCGGAGACTACCGCTCTCATTCTAAGTAAACATTTGCAGCTCGCTCGTGATGCTGTGTATTCACTGATATCTTTGAGCGATGTGGGAGATTTGGGATCGAGTGTAGCGATGACAAAGATAAAGCCCATTATAACCGATTTGCTGGAAAAACTGTGCTCGTGGGGTACAGTCACAACGATACCGCTTCAGGTGCATGGAGCGCTGTTCGAGTCAATAGGAGGAATTGCTGAGTTGTTAAACAGTGCCGTTGCTCAAACTAACATCAGTGACCAGCTCAGACATCTTACAACAACTCTCCAGAAATACGAGAAATGTACCCAACAATATCTGCAGTGCATGTGTAATGAAGTGCTACTGAAAGGCCTGGCCAATCCGTTTGGGTTTCCTGTTGTGGCACAGCACATCAGTGCCTGTTATCTGAGTCCGACAAACAGCGTCGACCAGATGCTGAAAAGGTAGCGTGTTGTTTGTTGCAGCATCTGTGTTTCCAAATGATGAATCTTGGTTCATGTAATCTATGCGTGTTAGGTTGATTTGCCACCATGCTGTTGGCAAAAATCGTCCAGCGCAAGTAATTTCTCCTTTGGAGGCTGTTCTCGTTTCTGTTCATCGAAATGCTGAAGCGTTTTTACGTGGTCAGCTTTCTATGCTTCAACCCATGCGGCTCTATGGTTTCTCGCAGGCAGTCTGTTTACCCGCCACAAAGAAGCTTATTTTCGTGTGGTCACGCATATTTGATATGCTGAGCAACCACCTGGAGAGCGTTTTTAAAAAAGCGGTGGGTGGAAAAGCTAGGACTACATCCTCGCACCAGGTCACCGATGTTGGCATCGCAGCAGCGCACCTGCTGAAACTTCCGAATTTGATCAATGACTTTTTGATCGCTATGCTGACAAATTTGTTTGGCTCCAAAGCAAAACCTACCATAGAAGTCACAGAAACTATTCGCGTGCAATGTCTCGACTTCGGAATATCATTCTGGAAGTTCTATTCATCAGTGTCAAAGGGCTTAAGTGCATCTTACAAACGTGTGGTGGGGCTGATAACTCCATTGGTTGAGTGTATAGCTAGGGGGTCGGCGTCTGAGAATAAGCGGGCCGCTCAGTTGTTAATGACAGTGATGGGTTGCCTTCTGGAAGCAAATACTCATCTGGACGAAGTTACACTAAATATGATTGACAGCATAAAGGGCGAGGCAGCGTTGATTGAATCTAAAACGTCTACGGACTTTGGTCGCATGACGAAAAAGTTTCGGCAACTAGATCAAAACTCGCGGTTTTTCACGAAGCGCTTGACGGCATCGAGTATTGGGCAAAGCCTTGAGGAAATGACTTCTCGGTCCACGTCTAAGATATTATCGCGGGCTAAATCTTCTGCGGGTACGCCAAGCTATGCCGTTACGTCAATGGGTGCAAGGTCGGCTAGTAGAGCTCAGGACCGCCGGTTAATTGATCTCACTCTGGTGCTGATGAAGTATCAAACCAAGCGGCAGCTCGAAAACAGCATAGTTTTTATTCTGAAGAAGAGTACCACACCGCTTCAAAGAAGGCATCTACCGTTGTGGGGCAGGCATCAAATTCAAAGTCTGCGTTTGATATGGCCCAAGTCATAAAAGGGATTTCACATTCACACCCAAGCTATTCCAGCAAGGCGATTCAGTCCGAACAACCAAAGAAACAGGTTGACAAAGGTGTCGTTGAAAATATGGAAGAGGAGGAGAAAGAAGAGGATGTTGATCTACGTTTTGCGGCACTTTTCCATCGAATTAAAGCTACACGAAAACCAATAGCAACTTGCTCGCTGCTACCATTTTACCGGCAGCTACTTCAAGTTTGCATGCCTGTTCTTTTATCCGGCGAGTTTCAAAATGGACAATCTGATAAAGAGCTAGAAGCTCCTGGGTTGAGTTTCAAGAAGAATGCCGACTATGTCCGAGCCTTTCTGCCGCTGATGCTAGAAGAGTGCAACAACGAAGTTCAGGAAGGACTCCGAAAGTGTTGTTATGGGAATCGTGGTCACCTTTTGCGCTATGAGTCCGAAAAGCCGCGAGAAGGCATGCGCTGCATAAGTTTCAGCACTGTCCAGAAGGACGAGGAGCTTCTTTCTAGCTCTCAGGCAAAGTTTGGCGGCAAAAGGCGTCCGAGGAGTGGCTTCAATGAGAAGTTATTTCGTAATGGTGATGTGGTGCTTTTGCGAATCTCAGCGGGGAGCCAGAACCAAGGTGGTTTTATGGGAAAACGAGAGTTTTTGGGTGTTATTTCGATCAGTGAGACGGAAAGGGGGCGGAGACAAACATCATCGACAAAGAAGAATAGCAAGGACAAAGATGAGGAATCTGTAACGGTGCTTTTTCTGAACGACGGCGAGCTGGATAACGCTACCGCAAGTGTACGTTCGTTCGCGACTGAAATATTGGCAGCCAGTGCGATCGCTGACACAGAGTGGAAGGTGAGTCCACTCTGTAATTTGGTAACATCAGCGCGCGAGTACATCGCGCTCCGATCCGTAGACATGCTTCCTGAGCATCTGAGAACGGCTATATTGACCCCAGAAGTTTACAAGTCTACACAATCGGAGCTCATTACCATCACGTCGGTACTGACTGATTTGCGATTAAAGAATTCGCGCGACAGCCGGTCCGCTATTGTAAAGATTTTGAAGCGCTTGGACAGGATTGACGTGATGCTGCCTGATTTACGGGTGAGTCTCTGTATACAATGAATTCAGCCATCATCGGTGATGCACTCATTGTTTACCTTTTAGTCTACAAGTATAGGTAAAGCTGTGAACAAGCTACGCAAGCACGATGACGCAGAAGTCAAGATTCTTTCTGGAAAGTTGAAAGAAAAGTGGACGAGACTTATGGATACGAATGATGCTAGGGAGCGTGCTCCTCGCTTCCTTTCGCCCGCTCTTTGGGAGGCAATCAAGCTTCAGTACAACTCGTCCCAGTTGCAGTCCATTCACACCGTGCTAAATAACTACAGCATGGGCGTATCTCTGCTTCAAGGGCCTCCGGGGACAGGTAAGACGAAAACAATTATGGGCCTCCTGAGTGGATTGCTTTCGTTGCGACTGCCAGCTACTGCAGTCATGCCAACGATAAGCTCAGGAAGCAGTTCGGGCGACGGTAGCAAAGGCGAATTTAGCAATTTTAAGGCTGCGCGATCTCGCGGCGTGAATGCTGGGTTGCCAAGCGGACCCACATCGACTCGACCGACAGCGCCGACTTTCCTCTTGAGTGGGATTACATCTGCGCTTGGAAGTGTTCTCCGTCGTTCCCCCGACTCCTTGGCATCTGGCCCGAGTCGAACGACCATTCAGTCGCTTAAAAATGGTGGCGCATCGCGTAGTCGTTTGGAAACTAAGCTGTCATCTCGTACGACCCATCCAGTGCCGCATTCCAATCTGGTGGTAAAGCGCCGGGTTATATTGAGAGCCATATCTGAGCATCTGACGGGTCGGACAAACAACGTACTACTTTGTGCACCATCCAACGGTGCCGTAAACGAGTTGGTGTTGCGGATCGTTACAGACGGGCTAATGGATAGCACGGGGAACGTAACGAAAGTTCGAGCGCCGAGTGTACATCATGAAGCATTGTCAGATGAACGAATCTCTATCGTGCGCCTCGGAAATGCAGGCGAAGATGCGTCAGATGTTGTTGATTCTGTATGCTTGCCACATATCATCCGGCGCGAAATGGCAATTCATCCAAAAGCAATGGAACTAGATTCACTCCACGAAAGACAGCGGCACTTGCGAAGTTCTATTCGCGATTTTCACAACAAAGCAGAAGATCGGGACGGCCCTAAGAAAGATCGGAAGGCGCTGGCCAAGATGCATCAACAACTGACGGGATGCTCAGGTAAGATCCGACGCTTGCGAGATGAAGTGACTGCAATTCGGGCCAAAATGACGGAAAGCATCTTGTCCAAGGCAAGCATTATAGCTTGTACACTGTCAAAGGCAGGTAGTGGTGATTTTTTGGGATTGAAGCATGGCTTTGATGCCCTCATCATCGATGAAGCCGCCCAGGCAGTCGAGCTAAGTACGCTTGTGCCGATTCGGGAGCGTGTAGCTCGTGTCGTGCTGGTGGGCGATCCGAAACAGCTTCCTGCTACAGTGAAAAGCGTTGTCGCGGCGAAGGCACGATACGACCGGTCATTGTTTGAAAGGATAGCTGAGAGTGGGGTCGCGCCATCGATGCTTCGTGTGCAATATCGCATGCATCCGTTTTTACGGGACTTCCCTTCCGAGAGGTTTTACGGAGGGATGTTGACAGATGGACCCAGTGTTATGGAGCGAGTTCAGAAGGTCTGCTCTGGCGTGTATGCGCACACAAGCTTTCAGCCTTTCTTGTTGTATGATGTTAACAATTCGCGGGAAGAAGACATGAACGGGTCAAAGTACAATCGCATTGAAGCTGCATTTTGCGTTAGTCTGTGCCACAACATGTTTAAAACATGTGCTGACGTACGTAACAACAAGTGGAGTGTCGGGTTTGTGTCACCGTACAAGGAACAAGTACGCGTCCTTCGGCAAGAAATCACACGCTCAGGAATCCCGGCAAGCGTACCGATTGAGGTAAATACAGTGGACGGGTTTCAGGGTCGGGAGAAAGACGTGATTGTGTTTTCATGCGTACGCTCATCTCGGTCTGGGGGTATTGGTTTCTTGCGCGACGTCCGCCGACTGAATGTGGCAATTACGCGGGCACGCTATTGCCTGTACGTTATTGGAAACGTTAGCACCCTAATGCGCGATGAGACGTGGGCTGCTCTAATCAAGAGCGCTCGAGACCGTAAACTTATTATTCGCACGGAGGGAGAGGATTTTCCTCGCGTGGTGGAGAGGCTAGCGGAAGATAACTGCCGTGGGCTGGCTGAACATTACAAGTCGATGCACGCGAAAGTGGCTTTGAAGTCTATTTCCACCGTGAAACCTGCGAAGTCGATTGGAAATAAACCTGCCGAGGCCACAGTGTCAAAGTTTGGCTTGGCCGCGACACCGAAAGACGCGGAAGCAAGTGATGTCAATATGAGCGAGGATGAAGTGCCGTGTGGGTCGACAAATAACAGCAAAGGGACTGAAACGGACGAGGCGTCCAAAAGTGACAGACCGTATACGGACTCTGCTTCAAGAGAACCATGTCTGCAGCTTTCATGCACTCAAAAAAAAAGTCATCATGAAGTGAGACAACCTGTCGACAGTCTAAAAAGATCTGTAGAAGAGTCGTTAACTGCAGAAAGTGCGAAGAAGGCCCGCATATCCGAAGTGGCAGTGCCTTCTGGGGCAGACATGACTGACCGATATGAGATTCGACGCTGTCGTGATCGGAGCAAGCCGATGGAAACGGATTCGCATCAGCGTCATGCGAACCGCTCTGATGAGGGAGCTGCTGGCCAGACAAGGATTGGATGCGCGGACCTTTCGAGAAGGGAAGTTCGAGGTAAAGAGCCTCGCAGGCTGTCGGACTACCGAGAGTCATCTGAACTAAAGCGAGGCGAGAGAAGGGGAGAGGTGGCCCGGCCAAACGACCGGTACCGTCGAGAGATTCGTCGTGGTCACGATAGTCGGGACCAACCCGCTCGTGTAGAATCGAGCCATACGTCTCGACCGCCGTTTGCTTCGCTCGGAAGTGAACTACCGCAGTCGATTTCTGAGAAGGAATTTTGCCAAGTGAATCAGTCTCGCTCTCTGTCAAGGGCAAACTCTTCACATTCGATGACCTCAAAGGCGAGAGAAAGACGGCCGTATCGAGAGTCTTCTTGTCCTCCAGTGCACCCCGACCATCGCGATCGTGCCCAATCATCCCGGCAACATGACAATCATGCAATGTCAGGCAGGAGCAGCTATCGGAACAAGTCAAGCAACAATAAAACCCACAGCAGCACTGCACGGACTTCTTCCAGTAGAAGTACAAACGTGCTGGGCAATATTCTCGGCAGCGCTTCGAAGCTAGCAAACGCGACTTCGCGCGTGAAAGTGAAGACAAATTTGCACTGCTCTGAGATTCCGTAGTGCTGTGCTGCGTACGTCGCCGAAAAGAAGTTGGAAGGCTATGGTTGATGGAGAGGAACTATTGGATTTATAGGACTAAACGCATCAGTGCAGCGCCGACAGCCATGATAGTACCAGCGAAACCTACCGAGTACTGAAGCATTCGCGTTTCCACCTTTTCCATCGTCAGACGCAGCTCGTTCAACGTCTTGTCCTCTGCCTGCTTTTGCAGCAAAAACTTCTTCTCGAGCTCAGCAATTTCCACGCGGATCTTGTCAAAGTCGATTTTCTCCAGCATCCGGATATCCTGCTTCAGCGTGTTGAAGTCGCGCTCTAGCAGCTCTCGCGAGTGACGCTGTGCAATGTCTACAACCAACAGCAAGTCAATAAACGACCTACTTTTCAAGCCGTGGTCCGACAACAACAAAAACCTCAGCAACGCACCAAACTTGAGCGTCGAATTAAACACGCGCTCAGACAGCTCTGCTCGCAGCTGTATATGCTCAGATTTTGTCGCCAGCTGCACACAACCATGTGAGTGGGTTGGGAAATAATGTACACAGACACAAGGAATGGGAGCAATTGCGACTTACAATTCGTGATTGGGCTTCCAACGAGTCGGCCATGGCACCTTTCATCACGCAGAGAATAGCCTCCGACTGATCCGTCGAAAAGCCTGCAGTCACCAAACGATCGTCAAACAAGTGAACGGATCACTCGAAGGCCCCCAGCTCCGTTCAGACCTTTGTCTTGCAGACGCTTCACCACATGATGCGTGTCAAAATGCAGCGGCATGTCGCTGCTACTGGCGAAACATCGTCGACCAGAAACTTGCTGTGATGGCGTCAATCCGTGTCCTAGTTGTACGGAGAGTGTGGACCTTGTGATTCCATAAGTCCTTTGCACCTGGAGTATATTGACAAGACCGTGGACGTGTTCATGGAGCTGTCGGATCCGTGATACGCAGGCGAGCATGTTGCCCTCAATTGGACTGTTGATGTCAAAGCTGAGGTTTGATTGGCTACAGAGTGTTTGCGCAAACAATACGACTGGTCAGCAGAGGGTACAGAAAGCAGGCACAAATGAGGACTTGTCAAACATCTGGTCCTACGGATTCAGACGCTACGTTGCGACTTAATCGTCATGTGGGACAAGGTCACCGTCTCAATTTGTTCGATTGATTGTTACACACAAGGCAGTCCTCTGTCCCCCAAGCCGAGCGGCGCCACAGCAGCAGCTACCATGGTACGATCAAGACAGCTGTTGCCGCAATACGAGCTGTAGACTTGCTTCCTCCCGCATGTTCTACCTGCTCCTTATCTTCGTCGCGGACAAGCTTAATGGTAGCCAGACACCTCCTGAAAGTGGCCACCAGGGTTGAATTTGAGAAGGAAGTTCGGCGCCTCTGTCTCCAGCTTGGCTGGCTCCACATCAAGCTCCCGCAAGCCCGGCAAGTCTGAAGTCTTGATCTCGTTCAAGCTGAGACGCGTAGCCCAGTCACGCGTGAACTTGGGGTCCGGAAACTGCTCGCAGAAGTAGCCGATGGCCTGGGCCACGGGAAGCGGTAGATTCACCAGCGTAGGATTGCGCTTTGTCACGTCAAACAGGTAGTCGGCCAATTCCTTGTACGAAAACTCCTCGTCACCCACGAGTTCAAAGGTCTCGCCCTGAATAGTCGCATCCTGTGTGATGTGGAAAATGGCTTTCGCCACGTCATTCACAAACACAGGCTGGATCACGGCATCGCCATTGTCCACAACAGGCACGCCACCATAGTTCAGGCGGTTCCCCATCCACACGAGCAAGCGGTCTTCCGGGCCAAACATATTGGACGGACGCACAATCGTTGCGTCAGGAAAAGCCTTGCGAACAGCCACTTCACCGCGAAACTTGGATGCAGCCCACTCAGACGGTGAGTTGGGCTGGGCCAGCAGCGAAGACACATGGACCAAGCGGGGCACACCAGCTTCTTTGGATACTTCAGCGATCGTGCGAGCCACGTCCACGTGCACGTCATCGTACGTGTAATTGATCCACCACGGCAACATGTGCTTCGTCTGGTAATGCTTGCCCACGAGGTTAATGACAATGTCCGAGCCCTTGACGGCCTCCAAGATCGAGTCACGGTCCCGCGGATGAAACGGCTGCTGCGCTACGTTGCCTAGATCTGCAGACACACGCAAATGTGCCACTTCTGTATCGTCTCCGCGGTACGGCACGACGTACCCGTTGCCATTCATACCTGAGCATAAAGTCACATGGACCGATTCCATACAAAAAGCAAGTCAGAAATGGACCAAACGGATCCGATACATTCAACCAAAAACTTATTTTCTCCACAGACGTACCCAAGTGCGCACAGACGTAGCGACCGAGAGAACCGGAAGCGCCAAAGACAGTGGCGGTGATGCCATCACCACGAGCGCGTCCCACAGGGTGGCGCAGAGCCGCCTTAGCCACGGGGGAGAGCGCTGACATGGTCGAGGTTTATGGATCGACTTATGGACGGTTCACGAGCTGCATCGTGTCGGTATTCACGTGGTCCACTCCATGTTCAGGTGGATCACGTATTTCCAAGGTGGACCACCCTAGATTAGCAGCCACCTTTTCCGAGCACTCGCCACTTGGAAAAACGTACCTCCGTCACTTCACAGCAGCAATCGATGGTCATCGCTGAAGTAACGCTAGCCCCCACGCAAAATAGTCGTTTGCTCAGCCAGTCGGACGTGCCAATCAAATGAGACTGCCACTTGACATGAAGCTCGTGGGCAAAAAGGAGCAGTCGTACGCGTCGCTGGACATCTCGGAGTCGCCCCAAGCAGCGCCTATACGACGCTCGAGCTCGAAGTTCCTGAACGTCCAGCTCTCTCCCTCTGCAGTCTCGACTACGTCCATCAGCTCCGACGACAGCAGCCGCGCGTTCCCTAGACAGGGACGACGTGACAGCATGGAGGACAGTGTCCAGCCTTTTTATAACACTGTAGCCACTGACGTATTGGCTGCACTGGACGGTCCGATTCGGCAACTGGCATTCGAGACAAAGGGGGCTCTGCTGGCGACAGGGTACGTGACCAGCTGCTGCTGCAGCTCTGGAGACATGATTGAGGCTCGTGGACTGATAGGGACTTGGTTGGTTGCTGGGCGATGGGTGATGTGGCTGTAGGCTTGCAGCGACGCTGTACTTGCTGACGTGGTTCCAGGCTGTGCTGATCCCCTTCTTCCTGGCTGTGTTCCTCATGTACGTCATGTTTGCAGAGACTGGAATTGTTACAGTGTGGGAACTAAGTAGTTTGGTGGTGTGTCTATGTGAGTAGGTACTTGGTGGATCCGTTGGTGGAGATGATTGATGTGTCGCCTAAGTATTTTCTCTGCATCTGTACATCACGTGGCCGTCATGCACGGCGGAAGTCAAGAGGCTGCTCGCGCGCATTAGCGTCGCTAGTTGCTGTCAGTGTCGTTTGTGTGTTCTTTGGACTGCTGGGCTACATTACTGTGCTCTCGGTCCATGCACTCGATACAAGCGCGTATCAGACGGGGTACAACCTCCTCGTGTCGCAAGTCGAGCATATTCTTGAGCGTTTGGGACTGCCAGTGAACATTACGACGACACTGCATGACAATGTTGACAAGCTTGCACGGGTGGTGGTTACGGAAACGATGGACCTGCTCTCAGTCATGTTCGTGACGCTGATTTACCTCACGTACTTCCTTTGTACACGAACACGCGCGAGTGATGCTGGTGGTGTTTGGTCGAAAATCGACCACGATATTCAACGGTTCGTGACACTGAAGTGTTTTCTCTCACTATTCGTGGCTTTGCTGGTTACGATTGTATACGTGTGGCTGAACGTGGGGCTGGCAATAGTGTGGGGTATTCTGACGTTCATTTTGAACTGGATCCCGAACGTTGGGGCTATGATTGCGTCCGTTGTTCCTGTCTGTATTATTGCGATCACGCCGTCTGAAATGATGAACCACATGGAAAAGTTCATGGCCGTGTTCCTGCCGATGTGTTTTCACATGTTTGTGGGCAACTTTGTAGAGCCAAAGGTATTTGGCCGGAAACTGGAGATCGACCCTGTGATTGTCATTCTGTCTCTTTCGGCTTGGGGTCTTCTATGGGGAGTCGTGGGCATGATGCTATCCGTGCCACTCACTGCCGCAGCCAAAATCATGCTGAGCCATCTCAAGCTGTGGCCTGAGTTTGTGGCTCTAGTGGAAGGAACCTATTTTACGCGGTTTGGGAACAAGGCTGCCCGGTATCAGAAACAGGAGGAGAACGACAAAGAGGAGTTTGAGACAATGCAAGTTCGGACCGAAAGTGAACAGGATCGTGCCAGTGGTGGCCACATGCGAATATAAGTATAGCAGCATCTGTTTTCGATTCCATTTCCCATGATTCGAGTGTCGGACGCTTCCAGCTATAATGAGCACTCGAAACTTGTTGTTGACATCGAGGTCTGTGTGCTGATACATGTAGCTCTTGCTGTTGTACCAGCTCACATGCTGATTTGTGACAGTATAACATTATACAGGTCGTGAGCGTCGCTCAGATGGACAAACATGTGTTCTATGAAAATCATTGACAGTTGGACATAGCGCAACACTATTGAGCCTTTCTGAGCCATTTGTTGCAGCTGTTGCTCGTGATTACGCGCATGCCTTCTTCCAATGTGGATGATATTCGGCACGAAATCCCTGCATCATCATCAATAGTCTGTTCCATATGGTTGTCACATTCTAAAATAGCGCACTGAAATACATGAGGAGGCCCTCATCTCTACATTTGTGAAAGAGCTAAAAATACATGATAGTCTTATCCTGTTTTAGCCGATCGGATCATATGTATCGCCAACGACATTATCACGCTTTCATAATCACCAATCAGGTCTCAGAGAACGAATACAGACGCCTCTTCCGTATCACATCTCATCATCCACGTCGAGACCTCCCGACCGACCGCCGTCTCTCCTTCTCTCTCTCTCTCTGCACGCATGGGTGACCTCACGTCCAGCGATTACTATGAGAACCTCGGCGTGTCACGGACAGCAACAGCACAGGAGATCAAGACGGCGTACGCGACTTCTCTCCTCCTTCTCCTCCTCTTTGCACAGTACCATTGAGCTGCCAATCTAAATGACTTAATCGTGTTTGTTTGGCTGTGATTTTGTGCTCTAGCTACCGCAAATTGGCGATCAAGTACCATCCAGACAAGAACCCATTGGACAAAATTACGGCTGAAGCTAATTTCAAAGTTGTCGGCGAGGCGTACAACGTCCTGTCCGATGACAATACGCGCAAGATCTGTACGAGCAGCTCTCTTCCGGCTCTTTGTATGCATTATACGGGTGGGGTTTAGCGTGTCATACTGACAGCTTTTGTACTACCTGTTGTGCTTGCGTTGTTGTTCTTTTGTGTAGATGACATTTACGGTAAGGAAGGACTGGAAGACGGTGCGCAACCGATGACGAGGGAACGCGCCATGGAAATATTTGAGGAGTTTTTCCGGTTTGGTAAAGCGATGGACCCTGAAGCTCCTGACCGATCAAAGGGATTGAAGCGCGCAGCGGGTGGAGCAGTCTATGCGCCTGCCAAGGGTCTTCTTTACGGTGGCAAGTCTATTGTCGGTGGTGTCATCATGGGGTCTGCTGCAATTGTAGTAGGAACTGGTGCAATGTTTTTCAACGTGGCTTCCGGTATAAAAGAGATGGGTGAGGCTGGCGTCCATGCCGTGCGCAAGCATAAGGATAGCAAACATGCTAGCGACAGTGAAACAGAAGTGCCTGGTACTGCAGTAGGGGATGGCTCAGCTGATACTAGGGCTGAAGATGAACAGAGGGTAGCGATCGAGGTCGCCAATCAGAAGCCTACTCCTACATTCATGGGAGGATTGAAAAAGGCGACGATTGGCGCCGTAGCGGCTCCCGTTGCGGTACGCTTATGTTTACTGTACCCAGAGTGGCTGAAACCTCATTTTATCTTGTGGCTTTGCAGGCGATCGTAACAGGAAGTGGTGTGCTGCTTGCTAGTGGTGTCGCGGCTGGCGGCTACGTGGTCGGTGGGTTTGCTGGTGCTGCGACGAACGTTGCGAGTGGAGTGCGTGAGGTGAAGGCAGCAAACAAGCTAGAGAAGAAGCGCCGTGCTTCGAGCGCGGCAAGTACTCGCGATTCCTCAGCTTCGGCAAAGGGCTCGCCGGCAACAACGAATATCTCGACAGGTCCTGTGGTAGACGATATGCCCGCAGCATCCTAGCAGCCCGGACCGCTTATGGGACAATTTGACACACGATTGTGGAGTGCAACTGATCACAATTCGTCGTGTGTAGTTAGAGCATAATTTCATATCACAGTAAACCGTGATCTACATGTAGTCTACTTCGTGCTTTTGGCAATTCGTCACAGCGTTTCATTTGGAGAATGGCGAATCAAGCCGGGACCACCAATGGAACTGGTGAAACACTCAAACCCACTCGCTTCTAGCTGTTTAACAAGCTTCGACAAGTCAGCGTTGCTCAAACTTTGCGGCAAGAGAGTAATCGTACAACCGCCACCACCTGCGCCAGTGAGCTTTGTAGCGCCGTTGAACTGCTTGCAGATGCGCGCGACGACGTCGATTTGCGGGTGGCCCACTCCCAAATCATTCAAAATTTTCTGATTGTGCTCAATCTCTTGGCCTAAGACTTCCTCGGACAGCACCTTTCGCGTACTGAGTGCAACAAATTTCTCCACAAGCTGATGAATCGTGTCGAATTGCATCTGCACTTTCTCACGATCAGCTTCATAGCGTTTCCGGACGTACTTAACTTGCACGCTTGTCAAACGAGGAACGCGAGTATTGACTACCATAAAACGGAACTTGTCCAGCTCGCACGAAACGCGTCGAAACGAGGGTTCCAGATCCTTTTGAAAGACCAACGTCCCGCCATAGCACGACACCGTGTTGTCTACACCTGAAGGTGAGCCATGGAGAATCACTTCAGCCGCAAAAGCATACGTATTAATAAAGTCTAGCTCGTGCTTCCGAGAGCTGCCCGAGAGCTCTGCAAACGCCCCCGAAAGTGCCACCGCCATTGCCGCCGAAGAGCCTAGTCCTGCACCAACCGGCAAGTTGCCCGCAGCTATTTCAACACATAGCCCTCCTCTTTTCCTATCGACATATACGACATTCAGTTGCCACCAAAAAATAAAAAACAAAGTCTCTCGTGAGGGTAAAACCGCATGCACATACACACGACACGAAGTGTTCGAGGCCTCAACAACCATTACCCGCTAAAAATACCCGACGAGCGCAGCAAAGCGCAGCACAAGAAAAGCGGCGGGCGCATCACCTTGGCATCTTCCAACGTCTCGCCTTCCAGTACGTCTTCAACACGCTTCATCACCACTTGCGCTGGAACGGGCACGTAGTGGCTGTCGTCATCCAGCCCCTTCACCACCTTTTGCAGCGCTGAGATCTCATACACCCGTCGAATCGGCTGCTGATCCCGTGACGATTTCATGTCTTTGCAAGCGAATTCGACCATAGGGGGGACGTCTACAGGCACGTGAAGGCGCGTCTACGGCACAGAAGCAGGTTAGTTGGCGCTCGTTTACATTGCGGTGCAGGGACGCAAGAACTGTACAAAGCATCCATACAATCTTCACGTGAACGCGCAGATCCGACAGCGCAGTGGCCACGGCGGGGCAGCCGTACACGACCGCGTGCTCGCCGAGCAGCAAGAGCTTCCCGGGCGCCGACACCCGCACAACGTCAGCCATGACATGGCGCATGACAGAGTGGTACAGCGTACCACTGCGGACGTGCGCTCGCCAGTGCTTTTTTGTTAGTTTTTACGGCGGAAAAGTGCTTGATTGCTGGCGGTATTTACGCGCCAAGGGCGTTCGGTGGCAGAGTGAGTGAGTGAGTGAAACGAGCGGTCAGGCGGACCGTCATTTTGTCTTTTGCGCTGCTTTGGCCACTGACGAATGGTTGTGACAATGTGTGGTACGAGACAGAAGTGGGTACAGTGTCGACGCAGAGGATGGAGACGAGTACCGAGCACATGGACGTGACTGCAGGTGCCGCGCTGTTCGATGCCTCGAGTTACACTGGCGGAGCGCCTCTGATCCCGATGGATGACGGCGGATCAGGTGAGGTCGAGCCAGTGGTCGGTCGGTTGATTGAGGAAGCCGTGACGACCGTAGGTCAGCAGCAGCAATTGGAGCTGCTGAGTGGGAGCAGAGAAGTGGCGGATTTCATGGACACGACAGCAGACGACGGTGACGATGAGAAGAAGTTGGGACGCCCGAGTCATCCTGCGTGGCAGTACTTTGTTCGTGGCGAGAAGCGCAATCGCTTCCACTACAATGCCCACTGTCGACTCTGCAGAGAGCATGGCGTGGACGCCGTGGCGATTCGAGGTGTGTCGGGGAACATGATTCGCCACTTGCAAAAGTGCGTCTACTGTCCAGCTGAAGTCGTGACGCAGTTGAAGCTGCTCTGTGCACAAAAAGATGCAGCGAATTTTAACAAGAGACATCAGTCGCCGAATCAGAACGTCGATATGCTGCTTCAGGAGACAACTGGAGCGATGCAGATGAAGAAGGCACGATGGAGTGACAACCAATGTGGCCACGTTGATTCGGTACACAGTGAAGTTCGGCAGCGAGATGAAGGTGGTTTTGCCGCTGGTGCGCAGTCACTGCAGCTCCCGTCAGTCTCTACTGATGCAAATGCAGAACGATTGAGTGGGGCGCCATTACTAAAACCGCTGACCCATGAGAAACGCAACATTGCGTCAGAGAAGCTGAGTGGGTTACTACCGCCTAGGCGCTGGGATAGAAGTGAGAGACGCTGCAGGCCGCTTGACCCATATATGCAGAGTTCAACTGGACTTGAAATGGATCCACGTGTAAGCAGTGATACTGATCCAGATGCGTTGAGCATGTCTGTGATGTCGTCGACGCTGTCAGCAGGTCTGCCCTGGGATTGGGTGTGGACGGAGCAATCAGCTTTACTGCTTGGAGACATGCAGTCTAAGATCAGATTGCCAAGTGCCGAGTTGCTTTCGTCAATCGGAGCCGTTTCTCATGATAAGCAGATATCGAAGATGAAAGGTGAGCAACTTGGCGTGACGTTAGCCATCAACTTTTGGGTGGCTAAGTACCCGAGAACAAGTTTTGTTCTGCTTTCTCTCGTAAACGCTCTCGGTGAAGCAACAGCTTGGAAGCTTATTGACATGGGAATTGAGATCAGTGCACCGGAGTGTCTCGCTGACAAGATCACGAGTAGTTTAACTGATTTGCGGAAAAGAGGTATTCATGTGATCAGCATTGTTGCCGACACCGCGCTGGCTTACGCAGCTTCCCGTCTTGCAGTCGAGTCCAGCGGGTGGTCAAGTTTGTCGATTCCTGTGCTACCATGCTTTTCGCACTTGTTGCAGATGCTGCTGGGTATCGTCATGACAGAGTCGGACACGTTTGCGGAAACTGTGGGCGAAGTGACTGAGCTTGTACGGGCGTTCTCAAGTTGCCGTGTGTCAAAGGTTTTGCAGCGTGAGTGCGGCGATCCAGAAGCAACACTGGTCGCTCCAACACGGCAGAACTGGTATTCCTTTATCGAAGCAGTAGATTCCGTCCGCCAGTACGAGGACATGCTCAAGATAATTTCATCCAAAGTCGCTCAAGCCTCGTCGCGTTCCAGAGATGCAGCTCGACATCCATCGAGCATATTACACGACGAAAAGTTACGCAAAGATAGTGCGGGCAACACTGTCGATGAGCTGGTGGAGTGCGGTCTTTCAAGTCATGCAATACAGACTGTGCAAAGTGCAGAATTTTGGGAAAACGTCACAGCCTTGAGCGAGCTGATGTCACCGCTGAAGGAGGCATACAAAACGATGGGCAGTACTTTTACGTCATCATGTTCGTTATCGGACATTTTGTATCTATTCGGGAGAATGCAGCAACAGTATGAGGCTATTTTATCTGACTGGAGGGACGTGTCTGGTGGGCGGCCATTTGTTGAGCAAGTACGTATTTTGCTACAGAAAATGAATTGTATGTGGAAGCTGTACGACCATCCACTCATGGTGCTGGGATACACGTTTGACTACAATCTTCGGCAATCATTGCTCGCTCTTCACCAGCCATTACTTCAGTGGCTTTCGATTGGAAAACATGCAAAGCAATACTTCCAGAGCTGGTTCTGCGCAGCGCCATCAAGCCAGAGTTCTTCGCGAATGCTGCCGTTGAGCGACGAAGTTGTTGCACAGTTCATGGAGGACATCTGTGCATACAAAGAGCGTAAGTATCCGTTCGACCTGGAGTCCCTGTGTGATTTCGACAAGCCCAAGTGTTTCTACATGCTTATATCCGACTCGCATCCGTTGATGCACATGTTCGGATCTCGGCTATTTAGCTTTTCGACTAGCACGCCGCGTCTAAGTGATTTGATTCCAGGAAAAGGCTTCATCCCTGCTGCACCTTCGACCATACATCCACAGCAAACTCTGCTGCCACTTTTGCGAATGAAGTTGTTCGCTCACACTGCAACACGACCGTCCAACGATGTGCTTGAGTTTGTTCGAAGCAACAGGCCAGTAAGGTATATCGCACATGTGACAAGTCATGACGTACGTGAGCCGACGTCGGAAGCTGATGATGTGACTTCGCCGTCTTTTTCGGGCGTACGATCAGGTGGACACGACAAAGCAAGTGGCGAGTCACTGAATAGAGTATGGAATAAGAGGCAGTGGACATCAATGGCTCGAAACTGGAAAGCACATTGGAAGAGTGAGACTGATCACATCGAGCGGTTACAAACCCAACGAGTGCTGGACGTTGCTACGCCGGACATAGCTCTTGATCGCGTCTTCAAAGAAAAGTTGCCGTCTCGACTTCCTGACGATCGGGAAAGTTCATCTGCGGATGTGTAGCTTCGTGGGAAGAAGATGGTCAGTTTGTTGCGTGTGTGGCGGCGAGAGCCGTGTTCATTTTGCCGTACATCTGTCATCGCACCGGGTGTGTGTAGTGAGAAGCGAGATGCGACTATACACACAAGTTTTTTATCAAGTGGGTGCGCCATTTGATCACTTCACACGATCGAGGAAAGGTGGGGCAAGGCTAATAATACGAAGGATCAAAGTCAAGGACAAACGCTCGAGTTATACTTACTTTCGCTCGTCGTTCTGCGTCTTTTACCGTCATCGAGTAGCATGCAGCTTCCAACAGCATCGAATTAGTGACCAGCGTAGCCATCTCCCTTCTTCGACACCATAGTAGCAATGCGGCGCTCGATGCGTTCTTTTTGATCCTGGCGTGCAAGCACAATCGCGTTCTTAATCAGCACGGACGATTGGCGGCGCGTGTGTGCTAACGTTCCGGCCGTGCGTGGCGATACGGGAGGCGTGCCGTCCATATCGTCATAATCCTCAGGGTCCACTTGACGAGGCATTGGCGCACCACGACCTGTACTCACTTTGCCAGCTTTCTCAGCACTTACATCCCTTTCTTGTCGACCGCTAACGTATTTCTGCAATTCCTTCTTGTCCCCCACGTACCCCTCCGGTTCTCCTACCCGATCAGTAGTACCCTCCTCGTCCGACTCGACTCTCTCCTCTTCTTCCTCTTCATACAAAAACTCACTCTCGTCAATCTTCTTCATCACCGAGTGGCTAGCTGCTCCAGCAGCTAGCGCATTGTACTTTCGATGCAGCCGCTGAAACAGCAGCTCTTCATTCAGTTCGTACTTCTCCACCAGTTCGTCCACTTGTCGGAGCTTCCCAGGGTTGTGCTTTGTATAAAACGTCACCAGTCTCTTCCTGCACGTCAAGTCAGCACACACAAAACACCAACAATCAGTACAAACACATCTCCCCGCTGCACCCCATGCATCCACCAGCACAGGAAAAAAAGCTCTACCGGAAACGATCCCTCGCGTCGCTTTTGCCTCCAAACAGTAGAATGCCTACAACAGCTGCAAAACACGCCGCAGCGCCCGCTACCAGCCCGTCCTTCTCAATGGCTACATTCACCCCCAGCACCGCGTCGTCATCGATCTCTAAACCCCAGAAAACGAGCTGCAGCGCTGCCACAGCCACCAGCACACGGACCCAGGAAGGTCGAAGACCTCCAGCCAAGCCCCAGCTCAGCAGCGTCAAGAGCCCCCGCAGCACGCGCTTCAACGGATCAGCGTCTTCTTCATCCAGCTCTGATCCTAGAAGAGGTCCGAGCAGCAGCAGCAGCAGCTGCGGGCGCACGTAGCACGCGACTGCAGCTGCCAGCACGGCCACCTTGAACCCCGTCCCGAGCATGAGATTGGTGGATGGGCGAGTCAAAAAAACCACTTTTTTGCTTCTTTTTTCAAGTGGCATTTTCTAAAACGTGCTGGATAAAAAGCTGCAGGTTCTACCAGCAGGTGTTGTCTCGATTTTTTTTTTGGGATGAAAAACGTGCTTTTTGTTCAGACACGGCCAATGCCTCGACTTCGACAGCTCTTGGTGCTCAGTCGCGACTTGGCCCGGTCCAAGCAGTTTTACCAGGAAGGACTGGGGCTTCAGCTGCTTTGCTCGTCGGATACGTTTGCTGAGTTTGATACGCAGACGGGCGTGCCGCTGTGCGTCAAGTTGGCGCAGAGGTCCGTTGACAGCTGATGGACTTGGTTTTAGACTCGGGGTAAGGTGGTAGGAGGTCTAACAGGCTGGAAACAGCGAGGCTGCTTGCAGTAGCGGGTACTCGCCGTTCTTGAACTTTGACATTCCAGATCTCAGTGATGCGGTGCCGCGGCTGCTTCTGTTGGGGGCGATCATGGACGGCCCGATCAAGTACCCGGCCCATGGAAAGGTGCGTGAGGAGGATGGAGCTGACAGCGCATTGCTTGGCTGATACATTGGTATTGTTCTTGGTGAATGGTTGCTGTAGGTGGCGGCGCTGCGATCGCCGGACGGTGTGATGATCGGTCTGTACGAACCCAACTCGTGGGAAAGCGTGACTTCAGCATGAATAGGTTCGAGCGTCTACTTGGCAGAACAACTTCCACCTGATCATGTACCTTTATGGCTCGACATTGACATACCAACTTGAATTGTCGATACACTTGCTTCTACGTGAGCAGTGTTTTGAATCCAAGCGTTGTTCCAGTAATGGAGCTAGGAACACTAATGTGCTCTTCCAGGAGCTCGCCTGCTGATTAGTCCTGAACATGGTTAAACACGAGTGAAACACGCAAAGACCGTCCTATTTCTCCAGTCCAGTCCAGCCTGATTATCATAAAGAGGTCAGGCAGACTAACCCCAGCAGCTCACTTGTTCATTTGCAGCTTCTGCAGTCAACCTGTACCTGATATCGCAATCGTATGGGAAACGTCGTGTGTTGGTTGACGCAGTGCTGGTACCCCCGAGAACAGGTGTTCTGGGTGGCCGTGTGTGCTACAACAGTGCACACGCCATCCGGTCCGCGACATCACGACTGCCACTTTACGAGAGGCAGCAGTACCTTGAGTGGCACGACCCCCTTCCTAGTCGAACCGCGCTGTTGGAAGCTGCAGTGGCGAATGCGCTCGACTGGTGACCGAGGCCGGAGCTCAATGCAATGCCACGGACTTGAAGAGGGACACGCCTTTGCATCTCGCGTGCAAAGGAGCGAAGTTGGAGATAGTCAAGCTCTACGTGCCAGCTGTAAACCGATTCAAGGCGAATTGGCGCGGGAAGACGCCACTTGACGTAGCGAGAAGCAGGTTCTCGGAAGAGGGTGAACAAGAAAGAGAAGGCGGTGAAGCGGGAGCGTGTGCCAGGTGTGTTGACGTTATGGAAAAGGTCCGAGTCTTACGGTTGGTTGGTGCATTAGTTGGTCCATTGACTGGGTACTACTGGCCTGGTCTACTCTGGCTGCTGGGACTGGTGACCTTTGCTAACAATCGCATACACTACACGTACTGTTGGTGTGATTGTCGGATGTAGATGCTCTGCGTGTACAGTGGCGTGTTGTACGAAAATACTGATAATGTGCTGTCGCTAGTGTCGGGTATTTCGTCGCTCAACTCATGGACGAGACGGTTTTGTCTTGTGTTGGAACGTGGACATCCAAGTGTACTCGAGCCCGCCCTCTTTAGCATCAAGGACGATGGCAGTATGCGTCCTGTGTGCCCAACGTCTGTGATGCTATGCAATGTCGCTCCTGGAATGAAGGCCGTTCGCGACCCGAGATGCAAGGTGATCGACTGAACAATTGTCATTACGGGACAAACTTGGCACCAGAAAGCTCAATACATTTCGCTGCGATCGACCGAGCGGGTTTTGATGCTTGGAGAAGCTTCTGGAGTTGTCAACAGCAGCAGCTCGATGGTCTGCTTTGCCCGACCGTTGATCCCCGTGAGCAGCTGACACATTTCGATGCCAGATATCATACTAGGGCCGCACAGGATCCTAGTCCCCGGTTTTCGACACATGCTGCATCCCGCATGAACGTGTTTTCTCCAGTTGCTCCTGAGCCAAACGACATGTGCAGAGCCACGGATGAGCACTCTTTCCGAACCATGGATCAGACAGGAAGGACGCTTTACTCCACCAGCACAGCGCGTACTACCGATGGCAGAGCTTCAGCACCAGTCTGGGAACCTGATAGAAGTGGACCAGATGAATATGCGGTTTCTGCTGCGTCGACGAGAGTGTGTCGCACAGGGTCGAAAGCGCGGTTTGCATCTGGTCACGGTTCTACTGGGGTAGGCACCAGAAACGTGTTGGCAGACGCTGTAGCCGGTGCATGCGTTGTGTGTTTTGCCAGTCTGCTGTATGTGTGCCCTGTGGTCACAATGCGATCTGCATGGAGTGTGGAGAGAACATTGTGCATTCGGGGGCGCAATGCCCAGTGTGCAGAGCACACGTTCGCGAGCTTATCAAGCTGTGCCGTGCATGACCTGGAACGACTGTATCGGGTGATCGAGTGCGACCGAATTGCACGGAATAACTGCATGAGAGGAGAATGTGACTCAAGTATGTACTTCAACCCTTCGTATCAGCAATTGTACTTGAAGCTCATACGCGATAGAGACGAATCACCTCCCTCACTTGCTGTCGGCACACAGGGCATAATCCAGTGGTGTCGAGGAGCTCCTGCGCACAACCCATGCACACAGCATTGTGACCGCACGGGACACAGACTGCCTCCTGAGGTCCGTCGAAACACACGACACACTCATCATGGCGTTGAGCTTCCTGCCGATCAGCACTCATCGCCAGGTGACTCGAAGCAGAGGGTGGTGACAATGTACGATGGGCAACTGCCAAATCATCACCTCCAAGAAGTTGTACAATCTCTACCCCATCAGGACCCACAACCGTTGCAGAATAATTTAGAGCTTCAAGCATTGTGTCGGATGGAGGCGGGGCAGACGGCGCTGACTGAGTTCGAGAGTGCCGCCGTGCTTCCTCAAGTGACAGTCGCAAAGCTCGTTCCAAATCACGTTGTTCCTGCAGTACAGCTGCTTGAGTAGGACTGCAGCTCGAGGAGCAACAAGCAGCAGGCTGAGAGGGATGAACGCGTCGACTATCAGTATCAGCGCGTCGACTGCCAGCATCAGTGCGTCGATTGTCAGCATCTCCGACTACCGTTGTTGCCGAGCTTGCTGGAGCATTGACCTGCACCATGTTCACACTTCAGAACCAATCCATCAATCCATTTCTACACAAGCAGCAATTACCCGCAAAGTCGTTAAGAACGTCTTCCATGCAGCAAGTTCTTCTTGGTTCGCGGCAGCAAAGTCCATCGATTGAATGGCAGACGAACGACTGGAGCCATGCTTCCTTGATACTTTCAATGACAAACGAAACTCTTTTCGGTTGAGCCAAGTAACGTCATCACTCTGCTGGATCCCGTCACTAGTTTTGTATAAAAGCTCCAAACTGTCAACACAGACGAAGAAAAAAAAGCATCAGACTCTCGACAACGTCGACACATCTATGCAGTACTTCAAATTGGTGATCAGCAACCGTACCTTGGAACTGGCGGACGTCGCTCACCCGGTTTCATCGGGAATAAATCAATCTCAATGACATCCCTCACCTCAGTCCGCAAGGCCATTGCATACCTAGAGACACCGCAGCCAAGTTACCATCCACCCAGCCAGCATCCCTCCCCCCAAAAACAAAGACCTTCCCCACCTCTTTTTCCACGAATCCAAACCCGAAATCCCCGACGCAATCGACAAAAAGTTGTCCGACCGTTCGTACAGCCAGCCCGAGTACAGGCACAATTTCTACACCCAGCAGTGCATGCATAAAAAACCCACCCACCAACAGTCAGCAACACCATCGACGTCTCCTTTACACTGTCACGCGCTCTCCCACCTTTTCAAGGTGCTCCACACACTGAATGTACTGCAACCCCCGGCCTTCCGACCCCTTGTACCCCTGACGTGCAATGTCCAGCGCAGTCTGCGCCTTGGTCGCTGTCTTGGCAAAGTAATCCACGGCAGGCGTCTCCAGCAGCAGCCGCACGATCTCGCTCTTCCCACAGGACGTCGCAATGTGCAGCGGTGTATCGCCCTGAGCGTCTCGAGCGTTTCCGTCCACGCCGTACGCGAGAAGCGCCTGGACGCAGTGGAAATGGCCCTGCGAGCACGCGTTGGCCAGTGGGGAGTAGCCGTAAACGGGGTCCCGCCACTCGGCATGGAACCGCGTCTCGGGCGTGAGACGCTCCAGTCCTTTCCGCAGCGTCTCGAGGTCGCCGCTCTTGGCCGCGACCCATAGCGCTTGCTCTTCTGGGCAGAGCGACTGCGTCAACCAACTCGCCGCGTTGCCCATGTGCTTTGGGCTGTGTCTTCTTCTTCTTTTTAGTGGTCTTATTTTGGGTCATTGCGACGGAACAACAGGCTTTTTTGATCGAGATGGGGAGAACCTGTAAGACATGATATTTGAAGCGCACGTCATTGTCTCGGGTGCAACCTGGCGGGAACTGACTAGTGTCGAAATCCATCACTGATTTAGCGGGACGACGCACTGGAAATTTATAATCAGGTTGAGAATTAGTCGTAGCTGACGTTGTGCTGTTTGTTCAAGTCGTCGAGAACTAGTGACGTGCCGTGCAAGATGACGCGCTGTAGGCTCGGACAGCTGACGGTTGTACTGGTTTGGGTCAGCCGGCTGCAGCCTCGGAGATTCAATCGCTCTAGTGATGGACAGCGAATGTCCAAGTGAGTGAGACCCTTGAGGAAAGACAAATCCAAGTCCACTGCATGTCTTAGGTCTAGAAACAAGTACTGCAACTCGTCATTGTGCGACAAATCGAGCACCTCGAGCGCTTGAGATGTCACCTGCACGCGGGTGAGTTTCGCGCAGCTACTGACATCAAGTTGACGCAGACACGGAAGCTCTCCTGGGTCCACCCGTACCTCTTCAAGCTGCGCACATCCACACAAATTCAGGGATTCCAATACAGGAGATGCATGCAGCATCTCGTGGATCAAATGTCGCGCCTCGGGTGCTGTGAAGTTCCGGGAGCACAACGATAGACTCTTTAGCTCAGGTAAGTGCGTGTCAGCATGGAAACTGGCCATTGGACAATACTTGATAGTCAATGCTTGAAGATTTGGCGCGATGATGGCGGGTTCATGCACCTGGTAGCATTCGCACAGGGTGACCTTGGTGAGCTTTTCGGCCAATAGATGCAGGTAAAACCCGCTGATGCAGGTCACTCTGGTCAGCACTAGTTCTCGTAAGCTCCAGCTATTGTGGAGCCACGGCACAAGGGATTCCATCGTCGGTATCTCCTCCAAAATCGCATCTTGCACTCGAAGACGCCACACGTGCGGGAAGACCGTGGATAACTGAACCATCGAGTTGGTGCTGCTGATGCGGCTGGCCGTAAGTTCCCACGTACACTTTGGAATTGCGTCGCGTAAATTGCAGTTCAGCGCTCGCAGCGAAAGCAGCTCGAAGTTGGTGAGCCAAGCTGTTACGTGGTATAGCACGCCAGGAGACTGAAAAAGCGACATTTCGCTGGGCTGGAAGAATAGTCGTGAAAGCCAAAAGTCGCGCTCGGTTTTTCTATTTTCTCGAGATAATATCTCGTCTCGTTGTCATCGGGTCGTTTGAATCAATCCACAGAGTCTTTTGTCAAGCGGATGTTTGTGTAATTCAGCTTATCTCAAACTAGTTTATCTCAGGCCAATTTTATCTACTGGATGTAGATGACGTAATCACTTTTATCGATCGGTTTTTGCAATGATCCTGTGAAAACCGCTGTCCAATAGTATCTATCGATTTCGATGTGTGTGGAGAAAGTGGACACGAGGATCACAGCATCTTGCATGCCACCTCGATCTATAACATTGACTTGTTGTTACCGGGATCGGGAAAAGTCGGTTCAAGTCTCCGCTGCGGCTTGCTTTTCGAGCCATAAGAACACAGCTGAGGGTTGGAAACTACAAGCGTTCACATCATACGCATCCGTTGTGTGTAAGTAAGCTCATGTTACTGCCGCTATCGGTACTGTAGATGTGGTAGGTGTAGGGACAGCAGTATAGATCGTGACTTGCGTATCCGACATGTGAGGCATTGTTGCTGATCTGTTCAGCATCAGGAAAATTCGCTCACTTGTTCAAGTCTATCATTGAATGTCGCCGTAGAGGTTGGATGGATGACTCGACATCATGCAAAATGAACAACGTCATGGTCTACATCATTATCTGGAGACAGATCGTTATTTTCGTGCGGAGCAGCTCGATTATCATAGACGTCTCGTTAAATACAAGTTGTCACGCTGCCACTTTGATCCGATACTCAACAATCAAGTCTTCGATCGTGCAGAAATGAGGAACAGCTGAGCGGGTCGATACTTTTCGCGCGATTACGTTTCCTCACTGAAGAGATAGAGGACCAAATCGCAGGATACCTGTTGACTGTGAGTAATCTATCAGACTGCACCCATTTAGCACCAGTATCGTACTGCAGGAAAAGGGGATAGCGTCGGCGCAAAAGCAATTGCCTCTAAATCGAAGAAATTCTAGTGCCGCAGTGAATCTAGGAGCCATCGTAAAGCAAGCATGTCTAAACTGAGTTTGACGTTAACGCACTCTCTCATACGAAGAGTGACGACTAAAACTACGAAGAAATGAGCAGACCACTGGATCTTATTCTTGTAGAGGACCTTTTCGCGACCGGTTGTTGCACATTATAAGTCACAGCTTGGAAAACGATAGTAGAGCGGTACAAGAAGATACTGTTATCGTACTTCGATGCGTCAAGGCTGCCTGCACAAGCTTCTCTTTCTCTTCAACCACAGACTCCGTGTAAGTTTATGGCTCGCCTGTGTTGTCATTCATTGCTAACTGGATTTTTCTCGGAGCAAACTCGAAATCTTTTGCAAGTTCGCAGAGCCGATTCGTACCGAGCCTTTTCCTTTCCTAGGCCGCACATGGAACGAGGTACCATCTCTCAGCCAAGTGACGGCGCGAGTTGACGCCAGGTGTGTACATTTTCACGACTGTTCTTTACTACATCACGACTGACGGGGCGTAGGTGGCGTGGAAATGATTCGACAAGTTTACGTCGTGCGAAGTTGCAAAGGGGCAGGTTTAGATCATTGGAACAACCAAAAGATGGTTGCTGAACACATACACTCACAATAACAATCTCGCAAGTACTCTGGTGTCAAAGATCAATTGAAGTAACACATTACGTGTGCTCGATGGCTTCGTGTGGGGCTGCGAACGCGCAACATTGTAGAGTCTGTTGATGTCGGAAAGGAGCTTTTACACGCATCGTGTCTTTGCCAATAAGCACACACTTCCCACCATGAGATTTGCTTATGCTGCTTTGTGATCAAAGGAATGTGTCACCAGGTGCATGTATGATCCTCGCAAACAACAACTGATCTCATTCGATCGATTAGCAAAGGTGACTTTGAGATAAAAGAGTAGCGAACGAAGATCTACCACTAGAAGCAGCTTTCACCTCATGGATCCGGCACCGCTGCTTCGACGCATGAACGGAATCAGCCGGTCAGATCGTGTTTGGAGTAAGAAATGCAGCTTTTGCTGTATTCGTACGAGGACATCTGGTTCTTTAGTGCTGATCCAGCGTACAGCTTTGTCGTCACATTAGCACCGGTATTCAGCACTTGTTGACCATGCACGTTCGTCGACGGGATACTATTGGTGTAGCGCAGGAACCACAAGGTGTTGCTAAAAGGTTAGTCTGGCTAAACATGGAGCGATCGAGAAAAATCACATGCACCTGTATCTGAGCTCCATTACTAAGGCTTTTTCCTGTTCGATGAGCGCTGCGTAAAAAGATACAAAAAGGGAAAGAGAAGTCGATGGAGAAGAAGAGGCGAGAAGATCAAATATGACGTGGACGAGCTTCGCAGATATTCAAAACAAAATATGATGGCAGAGGATGCTAGAGAATCTGCAGGTATCATTTCGTCTCGTACCACACGCAAGCGTGCGAACAGACTAAACCCAGGAGTATTTTTCGTTGCACATCCAGTGCGGAAGAGGCATCGCCAAATCGGGTGAGTTCCAGTGACGGAATAGCATAGCGCTCGATAGCGAGTCTTCACGATCAGCGAACGTGATGTTGTAGCGGCATCGTACGTCAGGGTGAAGTAAGCACGAAGGAGGATCCCAGATAGCCACCCTTTTCAGGTCAAACTTGCGTGCTTCCAGCAGTGCTTCATTCAACAGCAATTGTACACTTTCGGCAGCATCCTCATACGCGTCCGGAAGACGGGCACGAAGGATGTACAAAGTGGATTCCTTCACATTATGGCACCAGATGATGAAGGATTCTTCGTTGATTTTCATGCCGCAGCAAGACGGAAGCTCTTTGTAGCCAAGGGTTCGAGCATAATACTCGCCGATGCAGAACTGCCACTCAATCGAGTCGCGAGTCGGTAGCACCACAAAAGCATCCCGACCTTGAGATTTCTCATGCTCCAGCACTCGGACTAACTTCTCATTATCAGCGCGTAAAAACTTATCAAGATTCGCATCCAGAAACAGCGACTTTGCTTCGATATTTTTGCTGCTGGTAAGGTTAGAAGTGCGGAGCTCTGCCACATCTATCGTAGCCATCTTAGATGGATGCAACTTCCACCCAAGCCTGTCATAGTACGTTGGACCAATATCCGAATACAGCACCGAAAGAAGTGCTCCTGGAAGTTGTTGCAACTGCTTCGCTACTTCCTCTAAGAAAAACTTGGCGAGTCCTTGTTTGCGGTGCTCCGGTAGCGTGAACACGGACCCGATGTGAAGAGAGTAACCCCGTTCAATTTCTCCGGAGCCATGACGCACAACGCATTCGAAGCGATGACTTTCGCAGTGACAATACAGTACTGTCTGACCTGCGACGAGATCGGCGTCGTCATTGTTCTCGTTTCTTTTGTGGTCTACCAATGCCCAAAAGATGGACCCGCGTTGCGAAAATGGCGACGCTCGTTGCAACGCTTCTTTGCGCTGGTATTGTGCCATATCCAGCATTGGCGCGCCCCACTCTTCGAAATCGTCCAGCTTGCATTGAATCTTAAGCGCCTCCTGCGTTAGCTGTACCACACGAAACTCCGACATCGCTGGTAACAGTGTTTGTGCTCGAGAAAGTATACGATGATCAATGGGATTCAGATACTATTGTCTGCACTACCGAAGTGGTAAATTGAAAATAAAACCGGTGCGCTCTGTAGTTTACATTGTATCCATTCCTTCTCGGCTATTAAGTACGATCACAGTCGGAGTACTGGAAAGCTGATAAACCGAGAGCGTTGGATCCGTAAGTATTCATCAGCTACAACAGGCAACTAGATATGCTAGTTTCCGTGGCACTTTGTAGCAGCCATAAGAGACCGTGCCCGGGTGGGCAGCATTTAGAAGGTTAAACAAGTTTTCAGCTGCGAGATCAAGATAGAGGAGCAAGCGACGGAGCTAGTCCATTTATTTAAGTGATAGAGTCCAAAGAACTGAACCAAGTTCGGTGTATTACATACTCGTTGCGAATGATCAGCGGATAAAGAATGGGTTTTGGTTTTGTGGGGCAATAAACCATCGTGCTGCTGTGCTGTAGTATGTCAAGGATGCTCGATCCTATCAACGTCATCAGCAAATCTGATGTGATCAAGAGATGGACGAGATTAAGAGAGACGGAGGATGATCCAGCCCGATTATGCCGTCAACAACAAAATGCGGTCGACGACATGTGATTGATTTATGAAGAAGACAGCTCACGGGGGTTTTCTAGCTAGTGGTAACGAAGGGTAGTCATGGTTTCTAATCTTTGAGTGTATACATGCGATAGACGAAAATCGCTTCACACTTACTGTCTGCTGGAGTGCGGGACTTTCGCTACTCTACATCGTCAAGTATTTGTAAATTTTCCTTGGTCCACACCCTTGATCACTTTTGATCCAGTTACGCTCGGATATTGATGTGTGTGACGAACCTAGATGGTCACAGATACTGATCTAACCAATAACCTAAAGGAAGGTCGAAGCGTGAGCGATCTCTTCCTGATGTGAACGATGTTATCTTTACCTAGGAGAAATAATAACCCGATAGCGGCTGTGCAATTAATCGATGCATCGTATGTAGAACTTGGTAATTTATCTGCGATTCTTTAGATAAAGGTACATTTTCGGATGCATAGTCCGATGGCTGCGAACATAGCCTAAAGAGTCAATTCCTGAATCCCAAATCAAGTATCGCCCTTGGTCACTCGTAAAGATTTAGGTGTGATGTAGCTGAGCTTTACAACTACGTGCGCATATAACGACTTGTTTTCTATTGGTAAGAATTCACGACAAACGTGGCAGTGCCCCTGTATCTGGCTTACGTCCTTTCACCTTAGCAAATTGCGCCTGAATGGGACGATAACATTGCGACTGCATATGTAACGGGTTGCACGAAATCATGGTACTTTGTACCAGAGGTGTTACACACCTGAGGCTACCCCTTTGTGAAGGCGATATAGAATATCTTATTGGTTTGTAGGGGCTGACGAGTGTCAGCCATTAGGTACGAAAGATCTTTGAGTGGGATTAAGATATTCTATAGTCTTTAACAAAAATAAAATCAGTTCCCATTTTGGTCTGAAGGACACGTGGCTTGCGAGCCGTCTTGATCGTTGATCACTGATCACTAAGAGTTAGCAACACCTCCTTGAGGTAGCTACTCTTGAGCACTGAGTGCTGTCGATTCACTGAATCGTTAGGTCCCCTGGAACAGGGATCTGAAGCTGTAAAGCTTGTTGACTCGTAGAGTCGTTAGTTCTTTGGAACTAAGTTGCTCGTAGAGCGTTAAGTCTTCGTCTGACTTAAGGAGATGTGTAGCTCCGCTACACTTGGTAGCACTCGTAGTCAATCTACGCCTGAGTCTTAAAGACTGATCCTCTGTGAGGATGGAAAATTCAACTCCCCTATCTGAGGCCCAAAACGTCGCGCTTGATAAGCTGACCGCATCTTTGGGTCCAGAGTACGTGGATTCCTTGTTTCACAAGGTCCTGAAGTGCTTAATGCACGTGTTGAAAGCTTCATGCAGTATGAAGCGACCCTTTTAGGGCAGGTCCTAGACCAAACAGCGTCGGCTATGCCTACACGCTACGTGTCTGTACCAGACGAAGAGGCTAAGACTCGTCCACTTAGAGTGGAAGTGAAAAACTACTCCGGTAAGAAGGGTGAGAACCTCATCCTCTGATCCGTGAGATTGAGATGTCCATGAAATCAGGCCTGATCACGCTTGACCATCAACAGGTCTCGCTGGCTATCTCGAAGCTCGATGGTAGAGCTAGAGAATGGGCCTTGACGTGTAGCACATCGGTGGACATAGCGTTTCCCACATGGGAGTCGCTCAAGTCACAATTGGTACAGATGTTTTCTCCACCTAACCAGGCTTACCGCGTGCGTTCACGCTTTCTTTCTACCCGCCAGGGTAAGAATGAACTATCGGACTATGTCCAAGAGCTGCGAACGCTCGTGGCTGCAATGCAGTATGACCTTCTGCCTGAAGCAGTCCGTGTGGCTATCTTCATGGAAGGTCTACGTACTGGCATTGCCAGAACCGAGGTTTTTCGGGTTCACCCCTCTACGTTTAAAGAGGCTGTGAGAATTGCTCTTAATGCTGAGCATAACTTCAAGTCGGCCAGACTTGGTTGGAATGGATTCAATCCTCGCTCTGTGAGAGCAAACTATTCGGGTACCACTGCCTAAAAAAGGCCGGAACCGATGGATCTCAGCTATGCTGAAGATGAAGGTGAAGCTGAGCTTCAAGCTGCTGAGCAGCAACGCGTCATACGACGATGTTTTACGTGCGGAAGCACTGAACACTTGCGGCCTGGTTGCCCTTTGCGTAAGCAACGCCAGGCTACAAGCCAACACTCGACCCCGAGTCAGAAGTCTGGCATGGCACGGGGAAATGCCGACACCCAGTAGGCGCGGGGCGCCCTACTGGGGAAGAACTAGGTTCTGTTACACCTTTAGAAGGTAAAGGAAGGCAGGGCTTAGCCCCAAAGAGTACTAAACCTACAGGTATGGTGCGTGGATACAAGTCTGGCTTGTTGGTCGCCGAGGCGAAAATTAAGGGCTTTGAGAAGCCTTGGTCGATATTGATCGATTCTGGAGCGTCTTGCAATTATGCTCGACGCCGTTCCCTTGAGGGAAGTTAGCGTTATGCTGAGGCGCTTACAGCGCATGAGGGTGATTCTATCACGGTTCTTTTAGCGACTGGAAGTCGCTTAACTGTGCCTACAGTTCCATTGAACTTAGGTATAAAGTTTTTAGACTTTGTCAGTATTGAGCACTGTCTTGTCCTAGATTTGGACTCGATATATGATCTCATCCTAGGTATGGCTTGGCTTGAGCGCCATGAGCCCTGGGTTGATTGGAGGTCCAAGACCTTAGACGCTACGCGCAATGTTCCTAGCGAAGCTTTGGAAAGTCATGAACCCACCTTCGCTAGGCAACAGAAGCGCTATTGGCGCGAGCCTTTGACAGAAGATGTCAATGTGCTGGATATCGGAATGTCTAAGTTATCTAACTCCAATGTTACAGACATAAGTTTCGAGCCTAGCTCGTCTAGTGAAACGGCACGTACTGCGTTGAGTGTTACTCGTTGTGATAACGAGTCACCGCATGCTGAAAGCATGGTTGGCCTAGGGCCGAGTGATCAAGGATGTGATTCCTTTGATGTGTGTATGGTGGCACGTGAAACTACACCGAGTGCGGTCGGCCGTGAGAGCACCGCACTGAATGTCGGTAATGAAATTGTTGGCCATATGCCATTTAGTGGGGGCGGCCGTGAAGGTACCACGCTTATTGTCGGTAATGGCGTTGTTAGCGATTTGCCATATAGTGTGGGCGGCCGTGAGGGCACCACACCTAATGTCAGTAATGATATTGTTGGCGGTACGCCGTATTGTGTGGACGGCCGTGAGGGCACCACGCTTAACGCCGGTAATGGCGTTGTTGACGATACGCCATATAGTGTGGTAGGCCGTGAGGGCACCACACCTAATGTCAGTAATGATACTGTTGGAGATACGCCGTATAGTGTGGACGGCCGTGAGGGCACCACACCTAATGTCGGTAATGACGTTACTGGCGAGACGCCGTTAAATTTGGGGCTAGGCCTGCATAATACACGTGGAGTGGCACGTTTCAATCCACTGGGTGAAGTGTTCGAGTTATGTAACACTTCACCGGATGTCGGTCAAGACAAAAGCTCTCGTATAGAGCGTACTATGGTTAGTAGTAACCATGGGGACAATATTGTTCCGACGCCTAAGGGGTGTAAGGTCTTGAAGAGACGATCGAGACGCCGGGTAGCAACTTTGAAGCGCCAGGCGTCCTCACAGTCACATAGTGATAATAGTAATACACTATATACACTTGTTAATGGAGTGACTGGTCAGGTTGATGGCAGTGTTTGCCTTGAAACCCTTCCATCTGTGGACGCTATTTGTGAGCTAGACGAAATGACTGATGGCGAGTTTAGCCAGGCCTTGAAGGCAGGAGAGTTATCCGAGTTAGCGGTCATTAGACCTGATACTGAGTTGAATTCTTCCTCGTTAATGGATGAGTCCGTCCTAGAGGATACAAAGGCGGCACTTGGTGCACGAAGTGGATCTTCGATCCTTAAAGATCCTTTGGATCCGTTCTGTCCTTTAGTTAAGGAATTTTAAGATGTGGTGTGTCACAACCCACCTTCTGCCTTACCTCCCGATAGAGGTGTACGTCATGAGATTGACTTAGTTCCTGGAACTAAATACTGTGTAACACGGCAGTGGCCTTTGCCGAAGAACAGTGTGACGTCATTGACGAATTCTTTCGTGCTAATCAAGCGGCTGGAATGGTTCGTGAGAGCAAGTCTCCCCATTCAACACCGACATTTTGTGTCAAAAAGCCAAATGCCAAGTGGCGTATTGTGCATGCTTATAATAAGCTTGATGCAGCCACTATACCGGCGCAGAAGCCTATTCCTAGAAAGGATGTGCTTCAAAACAATATGGCAGGATGTATATTGTACAGTGCACTCGACTTAGTCGAAGGTTATTACCAACTGCTTATGCGAGTAAGTGATATTCCGCTAACAGCGGTGAGTACTCCGAGCGGTATGCTATGGGAGTGGCTTTTTATGCCACAAGGGCTAATTAATGCCCCGGCTACGTTTAACCGGCTGGTAGCGCAACTATTCAGACCTCATCGAGGCTATGCACAAACGTACTTTGATGACATTTTTGTCCATAGTCGTGCAATGAATGGGCGATCAGATGTGGATAACTACATTGATCATTTACGAGTTGTGCTCGAGTGTATGCGGAATAATAAGCTGTATGCGAACGCATCGATGTGCATCTTTGGTGCAGAAGAGATTCCCTTTCCAGGTTGCTTCATTAAGAAGCGAGGCCTTCGAGCGGATCCCGCTAAGGTGAAAGTCATAGTCGATTGGCTGGTTTCCAAAAACCAAAAGGACTTGCGTAAGTGGCTTGGCCTTGCCAATTACTTACATAAGTACAGTGCGAATTACGCAGATATGGATCGGCCATTGTCCAATCTCCTTATAAAGGATGTGGATTGGTGTTGGGGTAACACCGAACATGATGCTTTTGAAGCAGTTAAGGAGAGTCTCCTTCATGCGCCAATACTGGCTTTTCCCGATTCTGGTCGGCCTTTCAGTGTCGTCTGTGACGCCTCTGACTTTGCCATAGGCAGTGCTCTGTTACAAACAGATGTCGACGGACGCGAACGCGTCATCGCATTTGAATCTCGACAGCTGAAAGCTGCTGAAAATAACTATCCTGTTCATGACAAAGAGCTACTTGCTATGAAGTACGCTCTTGTCAAATTCAGAGTCCATCTGCTTGGCTCGAAGCCATTTGTGATCTGTACCGATCATGCGTCATTGCGCACTGCGACACAGTCGCCTCATCTCTCACAGAGAATGGCTCGTTGGCTTTCTTTCTTTGCCGAATATAACTTCGAGGTGAAGTACAAGCCAGGTAAGCAAAATGATTTGGCTGATGCGCTATCGCGTCGACCTGACTATGAGCTTGCTCATGTTACGAATCTATCGTCGTCAGTCCCTGACTTAATCAGTGCGGCATCTTTCAAGGATGATCAGTGTGTAGCTTTGCTACGTGCTCTTGGGAGATATGAGTTGAAAGACTCGGACGTAGAATTGTCGGCACTTTTACGTGCGAGGCTACATCGATATTCCATAGATAATGGCCTGTTGTGCTATCGAACGGATATTGAGGATAAGCCTCGTATCGCTGTACCTCATGATGAGAAATTAAAGTATCAAATCCTCTATGAGGCACATGATACTGCTTTAAGTGGTCATCTCGGTCGTGAGAAGACTTATAGCTCAGTGAGCCAAAGTTATTGGTGGCCCAAACTTTATAAGTGGGTGCGCACCTATGTGCGTACGTGCGAAACGTGTCAACGGGTTAAACTCTAGGCACATGCGGCGGCGCCGCTGGCTAGTTTTCCAGTACCCACTGGTTGTTGGGAGTCCATGAGCATGTATTTTGTGTTTGGCCTACCGAAAGATTCGGAGGGCGACACTGGTATTGTGGTCTTTGTTGACCGATTAAGCAAAATGGCTCACTAAGCGGCGGTGCCGGATAGCATCGATGCTGAAGGTACAGCAAAGCTGTTCATCGACCATGTGTTTCGCCAACATGGCTTGCCGGTGGCAATTATCTCTGATAGAGACCCCCGCTTCACTGGAAAGTTCTGGAAGCCTATCTTCCAGGTGCTTGGCACTCGGTTGGACATGTCCACAACGGATCATCCGCAGACCGACGGTCAAACTGAGCGTGTCAACCGCGTCATCAACGACATTTTGCGCAGTGTTTGTGCTGATACGCCTAGAAGTTGAAGCTCAATGCTCCCTGTTGTTGAGTTTGCGTTGAACAACGCTGTTCATGCCTCAACAGGATTTACTCCGTTCTATATAAATGGTCTCACTCACCCTCGCGTTCCGTTAACGCTATCACTATGTGAATCAGGGCTTGGTGGGGGAGAGGTTGCCGATCGGCTTGCTGATATCAGCCCTGCTACTGTTCAAAAACAGGTAGGCGAGTTTCTCGCAACGCGATTAAATGTCTTAAGACATGTGCGTGACGCAATGGCTGATAGCCAAGATAACCAAAAACGACAAGCTGATGCCAAAGGCAGAAATTGTATTGAACATTATAAGGTCGGATACCAAGCACTACTCAATACTAAAAATCTACCCACAAATGTAGTGTCGGCTGTCTTTAAGACAAAGTTGCGTCCACGCTTTATTGGACCGTTTATGGTCACGGCCAAGAAGGGACTTTCTTATACGCTAAACCTTCCGCGCAAATTGCGCACACATCCAGTGTTCTACGTAGGCTTACTTAAGCCGTACCGGGATCCTTCCCATGTGAACTTGGAGGCGCTTGCGCCGACGACAAGGGCACTGCCCAGGATTGCTGTAGGCGAATCAGCAAGTCCAACTGAGCCTCGCTCCGAGTTTGAGCTTGCTCCATCGCCTGAAATGGCTTTGCATCGCATTCAGCATGCACTGGGACTTACCTAAGGCCTCTTGAAGACCCTTCACTTCGAGAACCAATTTCTTGTGGGCCTCCACCGGTACACCGGCCGCCACCGACTTTGCTCGATGAGCATGGGTGTCGTCAATTTAATGTCGAAAGACTACTGAAACGATGTCGTCGTCAGGGCCAATACCAGTATCTGGTAAAGTGGCGTGGGTACCCTGAGTCTGAAAACTCATGGGAATTTGAGGTACCCCTCTTCGGCAAGACTGCCCATATGCTTTGGATGCTTTTGAGCATCGTGGCCATGGTCATTACGAGACCGAGGCCGTTCCCCACCACTAGTGGTGCGGGTTGGCGGGTTGTTGGCCACAGACTGACCAGCACTCGCGGCTACCTTAGTAGCCGAAGCATAGCGCGTGCGCTTGCGCAATTGGCCTCTGGCCTTAAGCTTGGCATAATCATACTGAAGCTTGCGTTCGAGACGCACGTCCGCCGCATGGGCACTGGCCCTTAGAGCAAAAATGTTGCTGAGGCGACGCACATAGTGCACCCAGTGAACGAAGGCATCGTCTTCTTCGCTCACTGTTTCGCCTGCGAGCAAGAGAATGGGTATACCCTTGATCGGTGGAACTGGTGCACCACGTGCTTGCATGTCAAGGCGTGCCTTGTATTGACTTTGAGTCGTTAGGTGCGGCTCCAGGAACCTCTCACGAAGTGCCTGGCAGCTCACCACCTCCTCAAAAGTCTTAGGCCCATGGCCAATAACCCACGTTGCCAATGTTTGGCCGGCCGCTTGACGTAGACGTTTCTCCACACTGGGTGGGGTGAACACATAGTCACGCTGGCGTTCAGGGGTTGCAGCCATTTGTAAATAACGCTGAGCGTTTTCTTCTCTTTGGACAAGCAGTTGTTGTTGCTCATCGAGCGGGTTCGTGATGATAGTCTCATCAGATCCAGATGCTGCATGCTGCGCTGGTGGCGCGCTCGCACCTCCACGTTCAGCGAACGGATTTGGGATGTTCGAAGGTTGTGCCTCAGGCATCAGTGAGCCGGACATTGTCCCTGTATCACCGCGGACACTGGTATCGCTACCAAAGTCCAACTCCTCCTCTATTGCGAGGTAGTCACACAGAGCCTTTGACTCATTTGGTGATGAGAACATCGTGCTAGAGCGTACGTTACCGTGAGGTTCACCGTACGCGCACTGTTCTCGCTGAGAACACAAGTTCGATTGACATTTTGGCAAACGTCAGTCTGGTGGGGGAGGGTGTAACGGGGTTGCACGAAATTATGGTACTTTGTACCAGAGGTGTTACACACCTGAGGCTACCCCTTTGTGAAGGCGATATAGAATATCTTATTGGTTTGTAGGGGCTGACGAGTGTCAGCCATTAGGTACGAAAGATCTTTGAGTAGGATTAAGATATTCTATAGGCTTTAACAAAAATAAAATCAGTTCCCATTTTGGTCTGAAGGACACGTGGCTTGCGAGCCGTCTTGATCGTTGATCACTGATCACTAAGAGTTAGCAACACCTCCTTGAGGTAGCTACTCTCGAGCACTGAGTGCTGTCGATTTACTGAATCGTTAGATCCCCTGAAACAGGGATCTGTAGCTGTAAAGCTTGTTGACTCGTAAAGTCGTTAGTTCTTTGGAACTGAGTTGCTCGTAGAGCGTTAAGTCTTCGTCTGACTTAAGGAGATGTGTAGCTCCGCTACAAAGCTAGTCTAGTAAAACGACTCGTATAAGTAAGGATAAAAAGATAACTGTATTTGATATAGTTAAGCTGTCAATATATCTTCAATCTTTATCTAACTATTTTAAATTACGTCGTCGTATGACGACAACCTGCTCACCACTCATTGCGCACTTCCAGCAGTGATTAATGGCTTCTATGGCTGATATGACTTTTATCAACCAATCTTGGAGCAGCGCATGAATATTATCCACAAGTGGATAATATCCCTTTAATATTATCCATCTCGGATAATATTGGTAGGATATTGTCCTGCTAGACAATATCCCTATTGACACCGTTTGGTGTCAATCTCGTGTAACGGGCTACCCCGTTACATTGACCATTTCTCATTTGATGGGCACTATGTCTAAAATCGGGTTGACCGTGTGCTCTTCCAGCTTCTGAAGCGTTGTGATTAGCTTTTCACAAAAAAAATCGCATAGTTCACGCGATGGGGCTTGTTCTCCTTATGAGCACGTGCTTTATAAGCATACAGCATTTCAAAGTCTTTTTTTACAACACCACTGAATCACGCCGACTGGTAATCATGTTCCAATTGCTGCGCACTTGATTTATTTACTTTTATATACAGGAGACGAAAATTGTATTGGAGCTATACAGCTCTAAATCAGAGGAAGACTTGCGACTCTTCTAGTCACTTGGCTCTATAAAACAAAGTTCCTATTATTTAAATCGTCTCTAGCTCTTAGAACTAATCAACAAAGGCTCTGAGAGTCTTCAAGCTCGTAGAGCTTCTATTCCTGGTTAAAGGGACTAAAAATGACACTAAGAATCCTACGCACAAGGTGATCTAGAGTATACGTCTTAAGTTATCTCTTTAGTCTAAACGATCTACCGACGTGAAAATGAGACATGTGTCACTCAATGATCAAGGGGAACTGAGCCTTTCTTTTTAATTTTTATCTGTAATAAACCTCATTTAACTACCTAGTGCCATGGCATATCTAATTTGCATAGTAATCGTTAGTGTATAAACGATTGATGGATGGTACATCAATCTGTCATCAATGATGACGGAGATTACCAACCACATGAATTATCACAAATAAATTTGGGATTGTGCATCACATATACAGTACGTCCCTTTCGGCTGGAAACGGTCGTGTGACTCCGCTACAAACATCTTCGCCTCGACGAAAACCTTGTCGACAATTTAGCATCCTGAGCTCTTTTGATGCGGCTGGTGAAGCATTCAGCATATTTCCTTTTGCTACGGAGTCTTATTAGAGGTGCTAAATCTGCTTTATTGCGTTCCTGTAAACACTACTAATGTGCACAAAAGAAACAAAAGTCCCGTGAGGCAGAACTTTCTCCTCTTTCAAGTTATGTTGACGATAGTACGGCTATCTTTTTTGTCAGGATTTGGCATGCTTAAAAATTTTGGGGAATTAGGCCATTCGGAGTCGGAGGTCTGGCAGGCGAATGAAATTGCCTTGGTGGGGGGTTGAGTGCTTTTTAAACCTATCAAATGTTGGCTCTTGCTTGTGTTGTCCAACCCCTTATAACCAGTCGCTGCAAATTGAAATTTCGTTTAAGAATTCAAGAAGTCGCTACGATTAATTTTTGACCGGAACGTGCATACCAGACAGTGAATGTCCCAGTTCATAAGATGTGAAAAAAAGTTGTCGTTTTCCAAATTCCAGCACAACTTGTTTAATCACCGACCATTAAAATAGACAAGCATTATAAAATGTAGTAAATTAACGTTGTTGATAGCTAATGTGTGCTCCATTTTTGTTAAATACTTGCGCATAGATGAAAGGTCACAACAAATAGTAATTAACAACAGTTATGAAGAGAAATATGCGATTATTCCCAGCTTATATAAGACTTGTCACTTAGCTCGACCCAAATTTTCAATGATCGTTAAAATTACTACATTGTTCAAGATTGGATTGGCGGGTTTTCATCTTCGCTTGTTTTAATGGTCTCAGGATATACTAGCAACGGGTCATCTGTATCCACAAATCGTCATTATGCCTACCTCTTACAGTATTTGAGAACCTTTCTGAAACCTTGGCGCGTCTAGTCGGCTATGTACTACATGCACGTACGATTGCCTCATTTTTTACGGCATTGACCAGTACGAATACGCAAAAACTCTGAAAAAAGTAGTAGATCATTACATGTTGAAGTACACTGAAGGTAGCAAAGGCAGAAGTGGCGCCTTGGGACCTGCAACATGTGAAGCGCATTGAATATGGATGCGCATGTGAGCGGAATCAACACATCTGTCTGAAAGTACGACACGGTACTATTATCGAGTTTCTACTCTCACTCGTCGCGTCATTTGATGTGGTTGCTCCGCGTAGATCTGTTCTCTTTTAGGTGCAGTTTATAAGGAACAGTAGCAGTGCTTCGTTGCTCATATAGTGAGGGATCATGAGTTGGTGCTTTACTCGTGGATAATAAATCATTGAAGTAATCTTCGACAACCCTAATATTTTGCAAATTATTAGCATACTTGCTGCAGAGGACATGTACATCGCTTACGCAGGATGAACATGGTATATTTCATGTGAACAAGCTTTCTGTGGTTAGTCGATTGATCGTGAATCCGTTACATGCATATGTAAAAAGAATACAGGCACTCAACCTATTAATAAACCACAAAATGCTGAACTTTCAGTTACGTGACGGTAAACCCACAATAAACCATGTGTATGAAGCTCGCTATCCAGAGCAAATAGAGTTACTAGTGTCGATAAAGACTACAATTTCAAACCTAAAGCGCAATTTAATATTTCACGTAAAACCGTTGTGATATCCAAGAGTGTACCTTCATTTGAGACCATAAATTTTAAACTGCATCAATCTGCAATATCACCAAAGACATGGTACTATCACCATTATTCACACAATACTCTAATTCACGTGATATTTGCGCCATCAGTGATTAATGTCCCACCATCATCCGATCACGGCTCATCGCGATTAAAGATTTTTGATTAAAGTGTGAGCTTTAGTCCCGTCAAACTTTGTCTACCGACGTATTTGCTTCGTCAGTTGATGCGCTAAAATGTAAATGGACGGTTGTCCGATAGAATAGGACAATCCCAGATTATTGTCGAGTATTCGTTATCGATCAGTATCTTTTGAATACGTGTCTACGACAGTATAGATAGGGGTTTAACCTGGATCATAATGTGTCGAATCTTAGTGACCTATACTATCACATTGTTGGCATCTTATCTGCAACTGCGCTAGACGATGTGATATTTGGACGTGCAATGTGACGGAATATTTTTCACGTATACAAGCTTACACTATAGGCTAAAAGAAAATAACAGGTTTAGAGCAAAATCAAACATGTGTTCATTTCTATCTTTCGATCCCATTTGAAAGTAATTTATCGATCCGATCGGAATCACGCTGCCATAGATAGACATCGCACTAGCTAGTATTGTGTATCGCACTTCATCATTAGCTCTATTATGCGACGTGCTATGTCCTCTACATATAACATGGTTTATTTGACTAAAGAAGCCCGAGTAACAGATGTCAAGCATTTAATTAAAAAGGTGCGCTAAAGCATATCTACGACCGAATTAAAGGGACCTAAGGAATGCTATCTACCCATCCGGGATAGAATATGTTTGTGCACGAACGGTGGGGTTCTTCCCACTGAGTCCAATTGAGAGTGAAAAGTGCAAACGTGGGGGTTTCCGTGTCCCGTGGAGGTGGCCGGAAACATTTACGTAAAAATTCGTTTATATTAAGCTCTGTAATTCGGTAGCATTGTACATATTGAATTTAAGACTCTTCATCGATACAAATTTGATGCAGCACGAGCTACCATGATAATCATGTCTTTTTTATATCCCGTACGTGCATTACATTAATATAGTTTAGCCTAGAGATAGTGCGTGAGCTAGAAGTTGTATAGTGATGGTCTTGTAGTGAGCCACATAGCATCTTCTTGCGAAGATAAACAGCAAGCTTTTCATTTGATGCACCATATGCAGCCGTTTGAAGGCTGTGTGCAGGAAGGTTTTATCTAGTAGATAGCAAAAAAACACTCGAAGCATTACCACTAAGTCAAATTATGCGTATCGCGCAGCCAAAATCTTATTTGTAACGGGGTGAATCGTTACATAACAATTTATAAGAAATTGTTAATAGAATATAACTATAAGAGTTATATTCTCAGAATATTGTCATAAGGACAATATTCGGTAGCACTTCCAAGTAGTTCCTAATTGGTTGATATAGGCCATTATATCAACCAACGAAGACGCGCCACGACAGACGCACGCAATGAGTGGTGAGCAGATAACTGATTTACACATTTGTATTTAGACATAGTTAGATGAAGATAAATAGTGATTTATTGCAGACATTAACTATTATAAATACAGTTCTACTTTTTACTCTAACCGAGTACTCGCTTCTTCTTACCGTCT